AGAATAGAGAAGAAAAATGATACTGTTTTCCAAGAAACAGAATGTTCAGGGAAATTTGAAACAGATGATCAGAATTTGTATAGCATCCACTTGCCACTCTACTTAAGACATATTTTTTTCTTTTCCTCTTCCCCCCCCCCAAAAAAAATCCCCAAATAGATAAGATTGGTAGTTGAAGAGTCTTCTAAGATAGTGTCTTTGGCTTACTGGTGCATATTCTCTCAATGCCTCTCTGCTCACTCTACATCAGTAGCTCCATAAGTCCCAGCCCCAAGCCACCATTTTGTAAGGAGAGTGGTAAGTTTACTGGTGGCCTGAAAAAAATCCATTTAGGATCTATATCGCTTCTCCCATAAAGTTCAACATGTTCACTGAAATTTCAAATTAACTTCTTGATCTTCCTTTACTCTTCCAAATGCAATAGTTTTGCATTTAATCAAGGGGTCAAGAAAGATAGTTGGAACCAGAAAACAAAATAATATCAATGACTAATATTTGCCATTCTTTAGTAAGGCTTGTTTTATCTGAAGCCTGTAAAGTTGTTTAATCTTTTCCACCATCTCAGGGAAAAGAGAGTTGGAAAATCCTCATCATTCCACAGCAACTATCAGTGGGATTTTCCATAACTATCTGGATACAAAATAAAAAACTTAAGAAGTGGATCCAATTCTAAAACTTACTTCTCGACTTACTAATAAATATGAGGAGACAACCATCCATATTTTCTTCAAATAACATCTGGTTTCTTGGCCAAACTGCTAATACCTGAAAAAAATTCTGAGTTTGTTCCAACAAATCTACATTTAAAGAGCTTAAAATGTGTTTATGCACTAAACATTCTTTTCTACATCTGTCTTAGAGTTCAAACATGGGACTGTGAGACAGAATCTTAGCAAAAAAAAAAAAGGCATAATTTTGCCTTCTAAAAGTTAAACTGTGAAATCAACATTTGATGGATCAGGGCAGAGAAATGAGAAATCATCATATGGAGACAAAAATGTTTCTAGACAACCAAGATTGGTTGTGACTCCACTAAAAAGATAACACATACACATTTAAAGACTATATTAGTAAATCATGGAGCCAAAGAAGAGGGTTGCTAAGAAGACCAGAGTAATAGCCATCAAGACTCTGCGCAGGGGCCTCCCCGGTGGCACAGCGGTTGAGCGCTGGGTTGCGAAGCTGCCCGCAGCCTCTGCAGCTCCGGTTCAATCCCCGGCTGCTCCCCGGCCACCGGAGGAGGGTCCCATGTGGCGCGCAGACCTCTCCTGCCGCCTGCTGCTCCCCTCAGCAGTGTACTTCGGTCCTTCTGCCTGCTCTGCTCCCAGCTCTGGCTCTGGTGAATTCTCTCACTCTCCCACACTTCTGACTGTACCCAGTGCTTGTATAAATAAATAAATAAATCTTTAAAAAAAAGAAAGAAAGAAAAACATACTACTGTTAAAAAAAAAAAGGAAAAAGAAAAGACTCTGTGCAGAGTGGAGAGTCTGTCTCGGTAGCACTGGAGTAGAAAGAACCAGCTACATGACATCTCAGTGGTGAAATGAATGAATTACCTTAGCCTGATTGCCCTGTCTTATTCACGATGGAAAGTTCAACATTGAGCACATGGCCTATCCTAGAGCAAGCAATCATTACATGCAATGAATTTGCTCCAGATCTTTGCTCACAACGTCCTGATTATAATTTGGCTTCCCATATAATTCTGCCTGTAAGGAGAGAATCACCTAGTCTTGTAGATTTGAAAATTCTGACATACATGCCTGCTACAGAACTCATTGAAATATACAGTTGAACATTTTAGTTTGCTTATTCTAAATCACCTCCAAAAAAAAAGGCCATACAATGTGCTACCAAATCAACTTTCTGAGCCATAAGGCTGACAGCAAGACTCTGGGCCCTAGTAAATTCAGCAGTAAGGTGACATTGGTGCTGATAGGAATAAACTTAGCCAAGTGTTAAACACCTCAATGTCTCAAAGAAGGCACTGTATGCTTTACATATCTGAATATATGTAACCCCATAACAATCCAATAAATTAGGTGTTATTAGTATCCCCATTTTGTAAATGAGGAAATTGAGGCTTGGTAAGCCTTAGTAAAGAATGGCAAATATTAGTAATTGATATTTTTTTTTGTTTTCTGGTTCCATCTATCTTTCTTGACCCCTTGATTAAATGCAAAACTATTGCATTTGGAAGAGTAAAGGAAGAACAAGAAGTTTATTTTAAATTTCAGACCAAGACCCAATTAAGAATCAAGATTCACACACAGATTTGCTTTTTTTTTTTTTTTTTTTTTTTGTGGGACCCTCGCTGGCGGCCGGGGAACGAACCGTCGCTGCAGAGGCTGCGGGCAGCCTCGCAGCCCACCGCTCAACCACTGCGTCCCCACAGATTTGTTTGATTCTAAAGCTTAATCTCTTAAATTGTGAAAATACAACCTCTGGGAAGATGAGGCCCATCTTTCTCCTGGCCACCCCTCTCCACTTCAGCACAGTTCTTTGGACCACTCCAGTTTATCTTTAACATGACTATTCATCATTGAACTATAAGATGTCACATCAATGCCATAAAGAGTAGCAAACTGATCCTTAATTAGAAGTGTAGAAAGTCAAAGTGTAGAAAACATCACTGTCTATCTATTCCATGCTATAAGAAGGCAAAAATTCTTACCTCTACCTCCTGCTTCCCCTGCCACATACTGTGAAATCAATAAACCTCTTCAATACTTCCCTAATGTGTCTGCTTCTCACTACACTATTGCCACTACCCATCTTTCATTGGACCTCTACAAAGATATTCTAGGTCACATTTTTGCTTCTACTCTTGCTTGCCTTCATTCTCAATGATATGTCTATTCCTTAAATTCTACTCTTTAAAAATTCTTCAGTGAGGGCCTCCCTGGTGGTGCAAGAGGTCAAGCACAGCACTGTGAAGCTATCAGCCTCTGCAGCACGAGTTCGATCCCCAGCAGGTCAGGGAGTTACCCACATGGCACAGCAGACCTCTCCTGACTTGCCCACTGCTCCCCTCAGCAGTGTATTTCAGTCAGTCTGCCTGTTCTGTTCCCCTCTCTATCTCTGGTGAATCCTCTCTCACACACACACCTGCAGCTCTGGCCGGTACCCCAGTTCTTGTATGCATAAATAAATATTTTTTAAAAAATTCCGTGGATCCCCAACCTGATTATCATACCTTATGCTTTAGACCTAATAGTGATTGGCTTGTAGTTTCTGGAATATACTCAGCCCTGTCCACAACAGCAACAGCATATGCACCTAACCTGGAAAAAATCCACACCCCCCTAGGCCAATCTCTCCTCTATGGTCAACTCCCTCTACCTGCATGGTCAACTCATATAAGGACTTTGGTACTGGCTTGTTTGACCTCCTTCAGGACTCCTGGATTCCCTTCTGAGATGCTCTCAGCATACCCAGCTCATCCCTCACCTAATTACGTGGGAATTTTGATTTATGAGATTCCACCTCAGGCTATGACCAGATTATGGAACCCAGGAACCATTCTGTTTTATATAATGCCTGATACGAAAAAAAGAAATCCTTGTTGAATGAATGAAAAAATGAATGAATGGTGTCAGAATCATAAGTGTCAGAATCTACCCAGATTTTTCAAGTCCCAGATGTGTGGTCTTGAAAAAATTGCTTAATGTCCCTATACTGCAGATTCTCTGTCTGTAAAATAAAGTACATAAAACCTACACTTGTCAAGTTGCTGTGATATTTAAGCCAAATCATAAAATATGTGGAAAGTATTCAGCACCATGCCTGGTATATTAAAAGGCTCAAATATTGTTTACTGTTATTATTACTACATTATTATTATTATTATTATTATTATTATTATTATTATTATTGCTATGTATTTTGAAACCTGAAAATATTTATGTTCTTGAAAGTCCTCACAGATAGTTCCAGTACTCTGCCTGGGGCCTCTGCAGTGCTCACGTTTTACATTTCACATATATTATTATCTTGCACCTTTGAATATACTCCAAAAGCTTCTGTCACTTCTGTACTTTCTTTGAGATGCCTAATACTTCAGCAAATACTTTTAAATGAAATATTTAGATGTGCTGCAAATCTTACAATGCACTAGAGCCTTAACCCACGAGACTACCTAATGATACAAATGTCACATAGAGAGGTTGGCGTAGCCCTGCCAGAAACATACACAGAAACCAGAAGGATGCAGAAGAGGCAGGTGGTGATCCCAAAATAGAAATCACCTCAAGGAGTCAGAGCAAAATCAGTCTGAGGAAGGTGTCCCCTTGTGACAACAAAGGGGTGAATTATTTGATCAGTGGTTAAAAAAACATTATAGCATAACCCCTCTATAGAACTTTGTGCAACCATTAAAAATAAGCATGGGCCAAGTAATAAAATGGCAAATTGGAACACATACGAGATTATGTTACATAAAAAAGAACAGATAATATATGGTTTTTGAGCACAGTATGTAAAACTTGCTTTAAAATTTAAGGGAGCAGACCAAAAATTTAATAGTTGTAACAGGGTGATGAGTTGGTGGGGGATATTTCTTTGATTAGTTCCCCACCTTTTGCGGTGTTGTCACAGTCCTTTAAATGTTAAAAAAAAATTCTTTAAAAAATATATATTCCGTGTGCCTCCCTTGCAGATGGCTCCTGGGAGAGATGAGATAGTGCAAAAGCCTCTCCTTAAAGGGCTGAAGGGGGCTCCAAGAGCCAAGGGCCTGACTCAGCAGCGTGCAGACAGGAGCGAACTTGGACCTGGGGACGCCCCAACAAAGCGACCCCACCCCTGTCTGGTTCTTTCTTCACTAGCCACCGCCCACTGGGTATCGCTCTATGGACCCTCGGTGGGCCCAGCCTGATCTTGATTTCCCCAAGCTGGTAGGAGGGAGGCGCTATGAGCAACTGGAAATCAAGAGCCTCGGTGCAGCCCCCAAGACCTCATTCCTACGCTGGCCACCCCTGCCGCCGACCCGCCGTCCAGCGTACCTCTTGCAGGGGATCAGCGCCTTCCTCTCCTCCAGCACCCGCACGCGCTGGTTAAGGCCGTCGTAGGAGAGCTGGGCACGGCTGTTGCGCCCGGTGCTCTGCTGGTACAGAACCTGGCGCCCCTCCCACTGCTGCGGCGCCTGGCACGGTTGCGGTTTCCTCCAGGAGACCTCGGCCCTGGCCCGCGGTGCAGCTGCGCCCTGGCCGCAGAGGCTGCCCAGCGCCCAGACCCAGAGGACTCCCACCAGCCAGACGCCCACGGCTGTCCGGGTCACCCGGCTGAGAGCAAGCTCTGGCATCTTGGTCCGCCTAGCTTGGCGTCCCGCGAAAGTCAGCCCCTACCCAAAGAGGCGCAGAGCTGCCTCAGCGCAGCGTGACCCACGCGCGAGCGGCCTCGCCTGGCTCTTTGGCACTGTGCCGGGGGAGTGTGAATAGGCGAAGTTGCTGCCTGCCCTTCAAGACTGTTGAGATCAGGACGTGCAAGGCCAGGGAGCCGGTCCCTGGGAAGCTCCGGTGAATCGCGCGAGAGCTATTTCCTTCTGGGCCACTGGGTCGCTGCAGCTTCTGTTTTCAGTTGCTCTCTGCTGCCAACAGGAAATGCAGTGGCAGTGGTGCCACTAGCATCCTGAAGGACATCGGTGCTTAAAAGCATGTGGGTATGTTTCTTCACTAATTTAACTGTTCATCAGGTGCCTACACGCTGCAGGACAAATTCAAGGTCATGGTCAGGAAAGAAGGGTTCCTTCCTGAAGAAATTATACCAGTCATTGATCATGACCACATTCCAGCCCCCACTACAAGTACTGAGTCAGGGTATGTGGGCTGAGCCCTCACCCTTGGGTGTAGGCCTCCAGGAAATTGCCTAGAGACCACAGTTGCAGGGAGACTGCTGCCCTCATCCATTCCCTGATAATATCGCAAGGTTACAAGTGTGCATGTCTGGGAGCTTAGCATCTTTAAGACACAGTTAACTTGGATGATGGTTTATGTTTATGTTAAGATCTGTAATATGGAGTCAAGATAAAAAAGAAACAACTTTAAAAAAAAGACACTTGCTTTCCAAGTTTATTTGCTCTGCATTTCAAATCAAATTTTCATTTGAGTTGCATTTCAAGAGGAAGAGTTAGCTGGGTGAACGGGGGAGAGAACATTGCTAGGTCAAGGACATGGGACAAGAGAAAATGAATGCAGTGCTGGGGGCTTCAATTATGAGGCAGAGAGTAGAAGCCAGGTCACTCCGGGCCTTGAAAGACATTTTAGGGATTTATTAAAACTGAAGGCAGTTGGAGTTGTTGATAAGTTTAAAGCTAGGTAAGGACATTATCAGGTATCTACTGTGGGGAACTCACTTAGTTATCAGTGTGAATGGTAATGCAACACAGAAAATGGGAGAAGCAGAGAGATGTTATAATACCGACTGATACTATCTGAAATAAGCTATTGTAGTAGGAATGGAGAGAGTGAAACAGAATTGGGACTATAGAAAAGGATTTAGACTCAGAGGAAGAAGCTTCTGGTTTGGGTCATTGTGAGTTCAATACTGAGGAAGGGAATTTCAAGTCAGTGTGGGACTGGATGTTTTGAAATGACTGTGGGATAAGCAAGTGGAAATCCCCAGGAAACAGTTTGTTAAGCATTTCTAGAAACCAGCAGAGCAAGGTCCTGGATTTGGGAGTCATTGGCACCTAGGTTGTAACTGAAGCCAAAGAGTAGAACAATGGTTCTGTATCCAGGCTGATTTTGCCCCACAGTGGACAGTTGGCAATATCAGGAGACATTTTTGATTATCACAGTGAGATGTCAAGAAATTAAGCTGCCACTGGCATTTAGTAGGAGGTGAGGGATGCTACTAAATGGGCAGGCCTCCCTGACCCCCATACACACACCTAAAAAAGGAATGATACAGCCCCACTGTTTTACAAAAACATTGCCTAGTTTGTGAAAACCTGGAGTGTCAGGGCGTGTAGAGATTGAGGATGGAGTCCTAGAAAACTGCAGATATTTCATGGATGGGCAGAGAAGTAGGTACTTGAAGAGACTGAAAAGGAGTCACCAGAGTGAAGGAACCGACCGGGGAACTTCCTTAGTTCACATGAGATTTCGACAAATCAGTAGCAAATACAGGACAATGGATGAAATATTAAAACAAGGCACGAAGAGAGGCAGGTTGAGAGAATCTGATGGAATTCCTCATTGCTGCCTCCTCCCAGATACTATGGATAGACTACAGGGGACTTCATGGGGTAAGCAAACAGCTTTAAAAGTAAGAAATTTTAACTTCTTCCTCATCCTTTGTTAAAGGATGTGCCATTGGAGAACAACAGGGAAGCACCTGAAATATTATGACTTGGTATTTGCATAGTTGAACAAATGCATCAGATTCAAAGTAGCTGCAGAAGTTTGAACATTCTCCATATCTATTCTTCTCAACCAACTCACTGGAAAGGAACAGGGAATTTTAAGCTCTTTGTCAAAATTGTGTTTTCCTTCTTTGTAGGTACTCTGGCTGAAAACCTTTTTCACTATGCCAAGAGTTTAGATTCATTGGATGTTACTCTGGATATAACTTCAGATATCATCTGGACTTGGCCAATGGGGACTTGAGAAAATGCTCATCATCACTTATCATTGGGGAAATGCAAATCAAAATCACAATGAGCTACCACAGCAGTGAGAATGGCCCTTATATAAAGACCAGAAACAATAATTATTGGTGGGATCCTGGAGAAAAAGGAATCCTCATACACTGTAGGTGGGAATGTAGACTGATCCACATCCTGAGGAAAACAGTGCAGAGGTTTCTCAATAAAAAATGGTGCTATCATAGGACCCAGCAATTCCATTCCTAGGTATTTACCTGGAGAATAAAAAAGCACTAACTCAAAGTAATATGTTCCCTGTGTTCATGGCAACACTGTTTATAATAGCCAAACTATGGAAGCAACCTAAGTGCCCAAAGGTAGATGAATGGATTAAAAGATGTGATATATACACACTATGAAATACTACTTAGCTATTAATAACAAATGAACTCTTGCCATTTGTGACAACATGGATGGAAGTGGAAGGGATTATGGGAAGCAAAATAAGCCAGAAGGAGAAAAAAATAATGGATGGTGTCACTTAGGAATATAGAGAAACAAAAGAAAGGATTAGACAAAACCAAACCAATAACAAACCCTAGAAATCTGACTGTGGAATAGAGGATACAAGACAGGGAGGAGGAGGGTAGAAAACAAAGAGTGGAGGAGGCACAATGGACTTCCATTGTGGAGGGCCAAGGGTGCCTCGGTGGTGGGTGTGGTGGTGACATGTATCTGAAGAGGTATGATCCTATGCCTTTGAATTACACACAGTGTTGTTAACCAGTGTTGTCTCAACTGGAGTAATAATAATAATATGTCATCTGAGTTATCCTCTTTGCTCTATATTTCACTAATCTGGTTTGACATCTGGAGTTTGACATCTATTCCAATATATAGTGAAATACCTCTTTAGATTGGTCTGTCTCTATCTGGACTCCCTGGTCTTCACTTAAGTAGAACTAAACTCCTTGGTTGAATGCTGAAATACATTTGTAGTAGATATACTTTTAATTTTGCACATTCACTAAAAAGTAAGACAATGCATTTAAAGTGCACAACACCATGACTAACCCATTGAAAATGGTTAATAAATCTGAGTTGTGCTTTTTGTTTCTTGGGCTATTTTAATACTCAGTATTGGTCATGGTCAATGTTACACTAACTTTGTGAGTCTAAGCTTTAGAGAGGAAAAAACCTAACCTATCTTACAAAAGTCTAGCTTCAGATATCCAATTAAACTGTCTTAAAAGATTAACATTCACAGAAGATATTTTTAATGTTTTGACGTCCTCGGAAAATATCATGTACCTAAAGTCTTACAGCCTGAAAATTGACCAATCAGGCAACAAACAACAAGCCCTTCTTTTTCTGTGGATAGCTAAACTAGCAGTTGGTTTTATGACTTCCTCGTAATAAAAATAAAAGAGAAAACAAGACATACATCCTTGCTTTCATGGTACACAGCTTCTTTCTTATAAGTACTTTTCCAAGCACACCAACAATTAAGATTTTGGGCTGTGGATTCGAAATCTCTTAGCATGAAGCTGGGGAGGGGAAGTTTAGAGATTGTGACGGTCAAAGTTGCTTTTTTTTTTTCCTCCTGGCTGCATTCATGTTGGAGAGAGGAATAGGGACTATGGAGGAGCAAGAGGAAGGTGGAAAATATTTCTCGAACGGAAGATGCTACTTACTGTACTCTCAGGCAGTTCTGTTCTTGCAGTGGGTACGAACCAAATGCCATTTTGGAAAAACGTGGGCCCAAGCTAATGTCTACTAGCCACGACACAACAAAAAAAATTCTTAGGAGTAAGACTTTATGTCCCATCTATTCCAACAATTACTGCTCGCTTTCTCTACTCGGCGCCTTCCGTGCCCCCTACCGGAGAAAGCAAGTATGTTTCAGATGGAAAAGAAAGGCTGGCCAGTTTCCCTCCGACTGTGTACTTGGGGAACCTGTACAACAGAAGTCGCTATGTTCAGTTTTGATTCAAAAGGTGTCTCTTGAAATTCCCTCTTGTACCCTCCTGTCCAAAACAACTGCCGGGGGCTCTTTTTCTTGACTCGAAGTAAAAAGATTCACCAGATTTGGGGGGAATTCAGGATTCCAGACCTCGGCTGGCCTTGAGGAGATGATGTCACCGCTTCTGCTACTAGAGGGCTGGGGGTGGGGCAACCGAGGGGGAGTCCGCGCCGCGCCTGCAGTTGCCAAGGGAGCGTGCCGAGCCCACGTCAGGAGGGTTTCGGGATAAATAGGGTCCCGAAATGGCCGTGGCTGGCTGCGCTCGGAGCTGCGGAGTCCGGGACTGGATTTGCCCAGGGGGGTTCGTGCCCCAAAAGCTGAGCGCGGGCGCTGCTGGAGCTTTGCGCACCAGACGGCAGATATCCCGGGCTGGCCTCCGCGGTTCCCTATTTCTGCCTATAGGAGTCGGGTAAAGGAACCTCTCCAGTGCGCTAAAGGACTTTCGCCTCGCAAAAGGGAGAGCAAAACTATAGAACAGGAAGATAGGGGCCTTTCTGCCCGTTGGAATCTCGGCAACCAAGAACAGTGCAATGCTTCTTTTCATCCTGACGGCTTTGTGCCTTTGGCTGCGCCTAGCTCTGGGCGTGCGCGGCGCTCCCTGCGAGGCGGTGCGGATTCCCATGTGCCGGCACATGCCCTGGAATATCACACGGATGCCCAACCACCTGCACCACAGCACGCAAGAGAACGCCATCCTGGCCATCGAGCAGTACGAGGAGCTAGTGGACGCGAACTGCAGCGCGGTGCTGCGCTTCTTCCTCTGCGCCATGTACGCGCCCATATGCACCCTGGAGTTCCTGCACGACCCCATCAAGCCCTGCAAGTCGGTGTGCCAGCGCGCTCGCGACGACTGCGAGCCGCTCATGAAGATGTACAACCACAGCTGGCCAGAGAGCCTGGCCTGCGATGAACTGCCAATCTATGACCGCGGCGTGTGCATCTCGCCTGAGGCCATCGTCACTGAACTCCCGGAGGGTAAGGACCAAAGGGGGTGGGTGGGGCGGGAGGGCTGCAGAGAGTACCTTTGACAGTTGCTTCTGGGTGGCTAAACGTACAGTTGCCAGGAGTAGTCAGCGCCCCCATCCCACTTCCAAGGGATGGAGGAGGTGGAAAGGAGGGGGCAAGACTTTACTTCTAGAAAAGTTTAGTTTTCCAACAAGACTTTTGGGAGCTGAGAAAGAACACCATTTCTCATAAAGAGACCTGGGAGAAAAGGAAAAGAGGAGGGGCAGATTTTTCTACATTGGGGACGTTTTTCATTTACAGCAGCAACAAAATGCGTGTTGGGCTTACAGTATGTTTGAGCCAGCATTAAACACTTTACATGTATCATTTAATCTTTAAAACAATCCTACCAGATTTCCCCTTTAGGGTTAGCTCTTGCAAACTTTCTGAAAAAGCAGTATCAGTCATCACGCTGTACGGGGAGTGTGGTTTGTAATTTAAGGCGCTCTGGAAAATTGTGATGTCTGTTTTATGGTCATTGACCAGGAGCCAGCGTCTGTGCCATCTTAATTAACTGGATCTCAATTTCTACTTCCTTCTTTTCTCTGTGCTTCTTTTGTTGCTTTTCTAGGAAGAAAGGAGCAGGTATTAGTTTACTTTTTGAACCGAAACTTAAGAATAATTTTGCATCCTCTAATCCTTGGCCCAGGTTAATGCACATTTTAAAAGTTTAGAGTAGTTTCTGAAGTTACACCTCAGAGCATTGCCCAAAGCATGAAGGAGGAACATTAAAGGGAGAAATTAAAATTCCTAATTCAGAGTTTTAGGGAAAAAAAACCCCACATTTATTGCTTAAATCAATCAGAAATGGAGGGTCATGCATGTTTGAGGATCTGTGGCTGTGGACTACTTCTCCAAAATGTGAGGTGAAGATTTTGAAATACTCTGATTATTTTGATTAGTGTAAACTGTCAAGTTTTAAAATTGGCTTTGGGAGAGAATGATGTAATTTATCTAAAGGGCTGTATGGGGGCCTCCCCGGTGGCGCAGTGGTTGAGCGCTGGGTTGGGAAGCTGCAGGCAGCCTCTGTAGCACTGGCAGCCTCTGTAGCGCTAGTTCGATCCCGTCCCACATGGCATGCAGACCTCTCCTGCCGCCCGCTGCTCCCCTCAGCAGTACCTCGGTCCCCCTGCCTGCTCTGCTCTCACCTCTGGCTCTGGTGAATTCTCTCACTCTCCCGTGCTTCTGACTGTACCCAGTGCTTGTATAAATAAATCTTTAAAAAAATAAAAATAAAGGGCTCTATGTACCACCCAGGCTAAGTGTTTTCACCTGGATACCCTGAGACCTGGATAAGCAGGTCTCACCTGAAGTCTTACCTAAGCCCAAAGATGTCTAAATGAAAGTAGTTGACAGTTGCATGCCATTTGTACTATTTAATATTATTATTTTGTGATGCTGTGTTAGTTTATGTCCTTACATAGTCCCTTATTCCAGTTGAGTGAACAGACTAAATCACTGACCACACCCACGTGCCCTGTGTTTCAGATGTTAAGTGGATCGACATCACACCAGACATGATGGTACAGGAAAGGCCTCTTGACATAGATTGCAAACGCCTAAGCCCAGGTGAGTTCTTTTTCCTCAAAACTCCTTCTCTTTCTCCTCTCCAGATCAATTCCTGAGTCCTTTCAACTTTTTTTCTTGCTTTTGTCTTCTTTAGACCGGTGCAAGTGCAAAAAGGTTAAGCCAACTCTGGCAACATATCTGAGCAAAAACTACAGCTATGGTAAGTCATGTGAGGAAGCTTTTCATATTGGGACTTGGCATGTTTCAAAACCAGGTCCACTAGTCACCAAGTAAAGAGGAGAGCTAGTGATTTTTCTAGTTAATTATTTGAATTCTACCTGGCATAATAACAACTATAATATATCTTACTTTTCTGGGTCAATCTAGTAAAAAGAAAGTGAATCACCCAGCTGAGAATAGTGATATGGATTAGATTGCAAAATTGTCTTCCTGATCCTACTAGTCTTTGTGTGAAGTGCTGCTCAGACAAGATAGTGTGGTCCCACTTCTACACTTCCAAACGTTTCATTGTTGCAGGAGGGACAGGAGAGTGATCCATGGATTTGCTATCTGAGGTGCAGAGTCCCATGAATTAAGGTCTCCCCATGTTTCTTTTTATTTTAAAAAGCTACAGATATTTGGCATCATAAGGAGATTGTTAGACTATATTAATCACAATACTCTGGGGTTACAAGCATTGACAAAGTTTGAATGCTCTCCTCTCTTATTTGAAAGAACCTGTCAGCATTTTCATTAAATAATAGGTCAGTTATGCTATTTTGGATGTTTCAAGTAAATTTAATTCTACTGTTATCATTTGAAAGTAAGCTTAATTAAAAATATGTTCTTTTAAAAAATCAATTTGAGCTTTTTTAGTATTTCCTAAATTATTTCTGAAGTAACAAATTATTTGGGGGGAAAATATTATTTTATTTGCTAAGTTAGTTTTTCATATTTTAAATTAAAATTTTATATCATAAGAAATCATATACATACATACATACATACATCATATAAAACATGAATGTAGGAAAATGATGGTATTAAAAAGTTAAAGAAAAGAACCTCTTATTTAGGTTGTTAGATTTGAGAACCATACAGGGTGAATGTGGTAAGTCAACCAAGAAAATACACCATCTTTTCTGGTATCATTATTGTTTATATTAATAACTTGTTTTATATAGTTATTAACTTCTTCTCATCTACTTAGTCCCTCATCTGACACTTACCAGCCTTTGTTTACCAATCTGAGTTCTGCTTTCCTGCTGTTCTCTGGGGTTATTGCCTCGTAACTGCTGTGATGATGAAACCATTTTCTATTTAAGCCCTTCATAAACAAGTTTTCTAGGACAGAATCCAAGATAGATCTGTACTTGGCTGATTATAACTCCACAGGAGGCAGTGAAGTAAGGGAACAAAAAAGCCAGAATCCAAAGTATGATCAGAAAGAGTTACATTAATAACCATGTAATAATAGTCCTATCTTTGCTCCCAGTGGACCTTACTTTGACTGTCTGAAATTGAAGGTTGAGGACAGTTGTCTTTCTCTGGAACAGAGGAAGTGTGAGTATCAGATGAGTGATTGAACCATACAAACTTTAAAGTGGCTTCAAATCATCACAAGGCACAGTATAAGCAAATATTTGTTTCTATGAAATTTTTATAGACATTCTAGGTAATTAAATTTTGTGATATGTTTTTAGCCAAAAAAAGCAAATTTTAGAACTTTAGGGCTGAAAAGAATCTATGGGATTCTCTATTAAAATCCAACCTTCAGTCCAACCAGGAGCAGACCCCAGACTAAGTCTGCTTGTCAGTTTGTTTTTATACTTTACAATATGATTTCGAACTATTAACATAATATTGACAACATGGGTGACCTGGCATTTAACATATGACTGTATCAGCTTTTTGCCTGCATTTGGACATCTTGGACATGGCCATCATTACAAGAGCAATTCTTTAAGAGAGGCTCAGGAGTTGGTGTGAATTGAATAACCCACCAAGATTTTCCTCCAAAGGCTTCAACAACTCTCATACTAATTTTTAAATTGCAGTTATTCATGCCAAAATAAAAGCCGTGCAGAGAAGTGGCTGTAATGAAGTAACCACAGTGGTGGATGTGAAAGAGATTTTCAAGTCCTCATCACCCATCCCTCGAACTCAAGTCCCGCTCATCACTAACTCTTCCTGCCAGTGTCCTCACATCCTACCCCATCAAGATGTCCTCATCATGTGTTATGAGTGGCGCTCACGGTAGGCACTCGGGGGAAGAAAAAAACTGCACACTAATTATAGAAAACATGAATCTCATTTAAGTCATGATTTTTCAAAAAATGGCACCAGTAGGTCTTTTTTTTAAAGTAGTTTTAATAGATGCATCTGTTGAATATCAAATAACCTAAATATCATTTAATTCCTCATTTGAATGGAATCTTTAAAAGTCAATTTCAGAATTCAATAAATGATTTCAAAAACTTATAAGTAGATAAATCACATTATCTACTTCAAATCATTCAATGTGGCAAATAATGAATTTTTAAAAGAGTTCTTCTTAACAACTTACAGATCAAGATGACTACCTGAGACTATAGTTCTACAGTTTCCTTATAAACCCTTAGTTTACAATGTTTGACAGAGTACAACAAACTCTCTCTCACACATACACACACTTATATCTGTAGCTAAGAGTGTATTTCTTTTCACAGTTCTTTCCTCAACATCTTTGTCTATGTATCAGTACATTCCTTATAAATTAAAAATCAAACACTTCTGTACAGTTCAGAATGAGCCCCATCATTTGTTGTAATATAGTTCTCCTGGGCCTCCCTGGTGGCACAAGCGTTAAAGTCTCAGCACTATCAAGCTATTGCCAGCCACTGCAGCAAGAGTTCAATCCCCCCTCCAGGGAGCTAACCCACATGGCATAGCAGTCCTCTCCTGTCTGGTGCACTGCTCCCCTCAGCAGTGTATTTCAGTAAACCCACCTGTTTTGCTCCCCATTCTGTCCCTGTTGAATCCTCTCATCCCCTGCACCTCTGCCCTATATCCCAGTTCTTCTGTGCATAAATATATTAAAATAAATCTTTAATAAAATAAAAAATGAAGTTCTCCTGCAAAATTACTTATTTTTAGGTAACAAATCTTCTCGGATTCTTTGCCATTCACACTCATTTGTTTACTGCATACAGCTCAAAACGAAACAAAACAAAAACAAACCACCCTTTGAAACCAGCCTTACTGGAATAATATCTTATTGTACTTTCTGTCAGAACTTGGTCCCTTCCTTAGACCACATATGCTGCCTTTATCGTAAGCTTTAAGCTATTCTAGTCATAGTTTGTTTCTCTAAAGTAGCTGAATGAATGAATATTGAATGACTGTTTCTAGGCCAGTCTCTTGCATGGTGTTTAAATCCACTACAGTACTATTGTTAGATTCAGTTCTGAGAATGTACCAGGTTGCTAGTCATTCCATTTGGAAAGATGAGTGGATTTTAAGTGGATTAAATAACAGCTTTTGTGTCATCTTTTCTGTTAGTTTATAGATTTAATAAAATTCTTGTCAAATATCACAGGAAAATTTTTGGGATGATTGGGATTTATGATTTATTTATGCATACAAGAACTGGGGTACAGGCCAGAGGTGCGGGGGGTGAGAGGATTCACCAGAGACAGGGTGAGGAACAGAACAGGCAGATTGACTGAAATACACTGCTGAGGGGAGCAACAGGTGAGTCAGGAGAGGTCTGCTATGCCATGCGGGTTGTTCCCTGGCCAGGGATCGAACTCATGCTGCAGAGGCTGTGGATAGCTTTATAAGTTGCATCTTAACTCCTTGAGCCACTTTAAATAAAGTTTTTAAAAGCTTAATAAAATAACAAAATATATGATATCTGAATGGCAAAATACTTTATAAACATAAAAGTAATATATTACTAGGAAAAATATACATGCCCATATTTGAGCACATAATATCGTGTATATAAAAATCACACATAAAAAAGAAAATCTGAGAAAAATACTTGAAAGAAGTATGATAAAGGAATAGTAACATTAATCTCTAAAGAGTTAATATAAATTTATATTAAAAATATTAAGACTATAATATATAAATGTGTTCATAAATTTATGCAGAAAAGTTCCAAAGAAATACAAACAATAATAGCATTTAAAGATTTTACTTTCTTAATTCTCCTATTCAAAAAAACAAGATTCCATTTTTGTATAAATCTTAATATTAGTGAATTGAATGAAAATTCAACTGAAAAAATGTTGCCACTATGCACTGAAAACCATTAAAAAAATGCTTGCTCTCTGACTAATTTTACTTTGTTCTAATGAAACAGTAAGGATAGACAATGCAACACTGATAATGGTAACTAAACAAAAGAGGCTGGTTTAATTGTAGAGAAATAGTTGAATATATTATGGATATTCATAGATGTAATATTACATGGTTATTGAAGTTATGTTTTTGAATTCTAATAAGTGTATTGATATAATATTAAAAAGGAATGTATAATATGATCTAAACATACATTATGATCTAAAAATATATAGAGGTATAAGGAAGAATGAAAAGAAGTATCAATAAAATTTAAGTGGGACCTCCCCTGCTGGTTGAGCGCTGGGCTGCAAGGCTGCCCGCAGCCTCTGCAATGCCGGTTTGATCCCCAGCTGCCGGTGAGGGTCCCACATGGCATGACAGACCTCTCCTGCCACGCCCGCTGCTCCCCTCAGCAGTGTATTTCATCATTCTGCCTGTTCTGCTTCCTGCTCTGGCTATGGTGAATTTTCTCACCCTCCCTCGCTTCTGACTGTACCAGTGCTTGTATAAATAAATAAATAAATCTTTAAAAAATATATATATATATAAATAAATAAAATTTAAGTGGTGGATATGTGGATTGTGGAGCTGTTATTGAAGAATTATGGTTTCTATAATTTTTTGTAATTTTAATTTTTATAATAAAAGAAATTGCTTATCATGCTAACTTACTTTTTCTCAGGATGATGCTGCTTGAAAATTGTTTAGTTGAAAAATGGAGAGATCAACTTAGTAAAAGATCAATAGTAAGTATAATTAGCAGTATTATGAATAATGTATTTATGTGCATGTAGAGAGATTCTACAGATATTTGGGAATTCTTTACATTGTTTAATCTCCAGGTTATCATGGGAACAGGCAATAGCAATGTTTATCTTCTCAAAAAGAGTTAAGAATATAGCTGTTCTCACTTGGAATCTTTATCATAGGTCTATCTTCAACATCAAAGGTAATTGTTTGCATTCAATATTTATTTACTGCTTATTTCCACATTAAATTAGGTTTTTTTTTTTTTTTTAGTATTATGTTACATTTAATTATTTTTGCAAACTCACTATCTCCTGGGATAAAAACAGACATATATATGCAGTGGTGTGAATACCTAGCTCTAAAACATACTATCCCTGTACAAAACAGAACCTTTCTTTGTATTTAAAACAACTAAAGACTTCTGTCAAAATAATGAGTATATAAAAAGTAATCATTTTGTAGCCAGATATGTGATTTTAGTGGTGAAATACTGTTAGTTCAGTTAGAGAAGATAGAATACATTTTTGTTCAGGGATGTGAAATCATACCAGAACTAAAGAAATAAGAACTTTCCAAAACATCCTCTCTCCTTAAAAAGTATTTAGATATTGGGCCTCCCCTGGTGGCACAGCGGTTGAGGGCTGGGCTGTGAGGCTGCCCGCAGCCTCTGCAGTGCGGATTCGTTCCCCTGCTGCTGGCGAGGATCCCACAAAAAAAAAAAAAAAAAAAGGATTTAGATATATTTAGGAGAATTTGTGTTTCCAGATTCATAAAATGTACTGTTACTACCCATGTTCTCATGGTTTACATGAATGAAAATTTTTGGGCAAGTGAAAGTATTTATTACTACTGACTCATGGATAAGGTGGTTTCCACATGGCTTCTCCTACTCAGTGTAATTCTGAAAAACCAAACCAAACACTACTGTTACATCCAAGCTAAAAACTTAGGATCTTCTCAAGGGCATGCTTAGTCTTATCTGACAAAAACTTCTAGCAGAATTGGCTATACAGTTTCCAGGACTATAATAGATATAGAAGACAAGTCCATCATAAGAAAATGAGAATTTTAAGAGGAAAGAAAGCTTTCAAAAATCATAGCTGTTTGGCACATTGGAATATTTGCTGTTAAACTCTCAGCTCTGACATTGATCTACTGTGTGACCTTCTGCATATAATCTGGGTGTGACCCCCTGCAAATAACCTTGTTTTCTGGTCATGACAATGGTGTTCCTGTAGAAGGGCTTGTAAGTTTCAAAGAAATGAATGCAGGTCAAAATTTCATCTTCTCTATAAGGAGCACTTCCCAAATTATCTGACACATGGTAAGTGCTCAATAACATAGAGTAGCTATTACAATTGTTGCTGAAACTAATTTAGGACAGTGAACATTTTTATTAACTCATAATTTAACAGCATAAAGAAGTGAAATATATTTGACAGACCTGTTTTTGCAAATTGCCTCCCAGCAGTGGGAAGAGAGGCTTCAGGAACAACGGAGAACAATTCAGGACAAGAAGCAAACAGCTGGTCGCACCAGTCGTAGTAACCCCCCGAAAGGAAAGGAAAGCCACCTGCTGCCAAACCAGCCAACCCCAAGAAGAACATTAAAGCTAGGAGTGCCCAAAAGAGAACAAACCCAAAGAGGGTGTGACCTAAGTTTTTTCCAGAACGGAGACTTCCCCTCAGGGTGAAGCCAGGACACACGGCCCCTACCTTAGAAGACAACTGCAGTACTCCTCATAGACACATCATGCAGTATTTTTCTCAATGATAAGCTCCAATTTTTCTTTTAAACCATGACAAGCCATAGTGGTATGGATACCCTTTGGGATGACAGGTAATATGAAAACTTATTGGAAAACAAACAAAAACTGTGTGCATACTCTGGAGCTCTCCATGTAAGGAAAAGGTGCTTTTGTTCTTACAGTTTGACCTAATCAGTGTCTCTCAAAATAAATATATTACAAACAAAATACCTAATATTTTTATTATGTGCCTTTTTCAGTTTGGCTTGTTGTTAGAATGTTAGCAATGTTTTGAAATATGATTGTAAGAAGGAATGCTTGTAAGAAGGAAAGTGAGAATGGATATGCCAAAGAGCTTTATGTATTTACTGTTAGCAGAACAATTTCTGTAATGTAAGGAAATTTTTGAACAATATAGAAAAGCAGGATATGGAAAATTGTAGTTTTTTTTATACAAAGGTGACTTTCTGCTCTGTTTTTAGCTAGAGAACGCTAAAATAACTAAAGTAATAATAACAATAAAGAAAGGGAACAAGCAGACAGATAATATCTCATTCTTTGTTCTCTGGTTACCCTGCTGTGTGGGGAGTGTCTGACTGTACATTCACAATGCTTCACATACTTCTTTTAAATAGCACCAGAAACAGATTTTAGTCCATCCCCTGCTTTATACCTGGGTATATGTGGTGCTCGCCTTGCTACCCGGGACATCTTAGATTTCTTTCTATGAACACTGATGGCTAGTGCTTACAGGGTGCCCTAGGCCTGAGATGGAGGAGTCAGGACTCCAAAGCCCCTAGTTTCAGCATGCTGTGGCGTCACTGCCACACACCAGCTCTGTGCCAGGGCACTTGTCCACCCACTACTCAAGGCTGCAGAGGAGAAATCTGAAGACTTAAGAACAAATTAACCTTCAGATTTACCACTGTCCCTGTTTCTCAGAGGAGTAAGTTGCATGTTGTATTCACACAGGACAATTCTCTGTAGCCATAAGGACACAAGAGATATGTGTGGGTGAGCCAGGAGAGTGGAGGAATAAGGCAAATGAGAACTCAGATACAGTATCCAACTCCTAAAAGCTTAACTTCCCCTACAATGCTCTTCCAGGGTAGTGAGTTAAAGGAATCTAATAGATTGACCCCACACAAGGGTATGAATAAAATACTTGGTACGTGTTTCTGCTGTTTAAAACTCTTTTGCTTGTCTTTATTTGACTATTAATTTAATTACTTTGTATTCCACATATTATGGACATTGACCCTTGATAGCTAATACAGAACCATAGCATTAAGGGGGAAAGGGGGAGAGAAGGCTGAGAACAAAGAGGGAAGGAAGCACAAAGGTCTATGTTGGTGCAATATGGGTGAGTTGGTAGTGGGTGCACTATGGTGGTAATACCTGATGGGGATACCCCCATATTACCACAGTTTAAAGTTAATTATACAAAAGTAATATTTGATGTTGTTACAAAACAAAAGTAAATACATAAAAAAAATAAAACCTCTTTTGTCCTTACTGAAGGACAGATAGCTGTTTAGCATGACATCCAAATGAAAGGAATCTAGGAAAGGCCATTAAAATGCAGAGGCAGGGCCTCCCTGGTGGCACAAGGCGTTAAGACGAAACCTATGAAGCTATGTGCAGCCTCTGCAGCACAAGTTCGATCCCCGGCCAGGGAGAAACCCACATGGCACAGCAGACCTCTCCTGTCTTGCCCGCTGCTCCCCTCAGCAGTGCATTTGAGTAGATCTGCCTGTTCTGTTCCCCACTCTGTCTCTGGTGAATCCTCTCACCCCGCACACCTCTGGCCTATACCCCAGTTCTTGTATGCATACATAAATAAATCTTTTTAAAAAATGCGGGGACAGCCTAACTTTTGTCCTTCTGGTGGTAGGAATTCTTTGTGTTTGCTTGGGGGGTGAGAGAAGGCAGTTAGAAATTCCTCCATGGAAATAGAGAAAAAAATATTGTTTAAAGCATTTTTTCTTTCAGTTTCTAAGTACGAAACTGAATGCAATAAGAGTTTGGAGATGACTGCAAATTTAAATACTGTTTACTTTGAATATTTAACTGAAATCAGAAGCTGAATGTAAAAAAAAAACCAAACTGACTTAGGCATACTTATCAATTTGATTAGCCAGCCCACGTTATTTTGTATGAAAAAGTTGAAAATGAACATCAGCACAGACTAAGACTAATATTACACATATGGTAATGATCTTTGTGTGAGAGCCAAAAATTTCTTTTTGTCCCTTAGATATTTGGTCCACCTAAATACAAATGAGAGGAGATAAATATAAATGGATAGAAAGCTGTGTTCTAGCTATTAAATAGGAATTATTTGAGAGTTGGGTTACTTTAATCAGAAAAAATACATTCATTTGCAATATGTTTATAAGTAAATTTCATAATTTAGGACAACTGGAATCGTTTTAAAACTATGCTGGTCTTTCATAATACAGTAAACATTTTCTATCAAGTATTTAGTAAATATACAGAATAAAATCCCACCTATTCCCATTCACCATCATGCAGTGCATCTCTACTGCAAAAACCACTGTTAGTATTTTGGTGAATCATTTTTCAGTTTTTCCTTATGCATTTATATCATGATTTTAAAGAAAATACTAGGAGCCTATTATACTTATTATTTTGTAACCTGCTTTCTTCCCTCAGCCTCCGTTAGAGATTAATTCTCGTGTCAATAAAACTGATTCCACCTCACATATAATGTGTTCCATGGTCTCCATCACTCAGCAAATGCTAGAAATTTAAGTTTTTTCTCTTAACTGGACATATTGAAAAACTGAATGAATATCTGGATAGCTAATGTCCAGGTACAGCCTTAGTTAGTTTTTTAGGATATGTCCGCTGGGGTTTCAGTAACATAAAACCAAACTATTTGTGGAACTACTTGCTATCACCTTAGAGAGAAAAATAAAAGAACATATTTTGGCTTCTGATATATTTATTACTGACAATATTTCCTAATGGAAAAATATTTTTTGAAAAGTATTTTACCTTGAGAGATACTGTGTTATTGTTGGGCCTCCCCGGTGGCGCAGCGGTTGAGCACTGGGTTGCGAAGCTGCCCGCAGCATCTGCGGCGCCGGTTCGATCCCTGGCTGCTCCCCGGCCACCGGAGGAGGGTCCCGCATGGCGCGCAGACCTCTCCTGCCGCCCGCTGCTCCCCTCAGCAGTGTACTTCGGTCCTTCTGCCTGCTCTGCTCCCCACTCTGGCTCTGGTGAATTCTCTCACCCTCCCGCGCTTCTGACTGTACCCAGTGCATGTATAAACAAACAAACAAATAAATAAATAAATAAACAAACATGCCTCTATAAAAAAAAAAAAAAAAGAGAGAGATACTGTGTTATTGTGACAGGAATACCAAACAAAATTTCATTTCTCAACTTTTGTGATTTAACTGATAAGCATGCAACATCATATTTGCCAGGTCCATGGAAAATCTGGGGCAGGGCATCTGCCTTAACATTAGTGCCCCACAGGAGATGCTTGAAATATCTCCCCTTTTTAGTCAAAAAAAAAAAGATAAGAGGAAGAAATTATTTAATAAAGTAACAAAAATATCAAAATTACTGCCCAAATGTCAATATTAGCATTTTGGAGTTTCCAGTTTCTCCCTTTTTATGGAGATAATGCAGCATGCACATCTTTCCATGTAAAAATACAATTACATCCTCATTTTTCACAGCTGTGTAGCATGTATGTATCAGAGTTTTTTTGCCAGTGACTTTGTGAAAATGAATTTTTAAATGTGGTTCCTCAGGCATGATGTGATAGGATGGAATTTTGTGACACACATAATAATTTCTCAGGACCAGAAATAAAAGGAGCACAAAAGAGCTTAAGGCATAAGTGTTATTGGTGTTTTATGTAGTGAACATGTGCTACTTTCATAATTAGAAGATACTGCAAAAATGAGGAAGGTGGGAAGGAGAAAGAGAAAAAGAAGGCGGGAAAGAGAGAGAATATGTAAACATGCAAACATAAAAACTATTTCCTATTTCCTCTGTGTTAGTCTAGGTCCTCAGAAAAGTAGGTAGCAAATGGTTCTAAAATATAGAAGGATTCTGTGAGATAGAATGGGAAGGGAGTTGAATAGGGCTTGAGCCATCAGAGAGAGGGAAGGGGGAAAGCTGACTGGTGAAAATATTTCAGACATCCTCAATATCTAAGGACATCTTGCCAAGGCTATGGGGGAGGGGGTAAGCTGAGTATGCCACCATGGAGTCCCTCATCTTCAGAAACACTCACTGCCTTAGCAGCTCATTACATTCAGTCAGTGATTGGGATAGCCTGCCACTGTTCAGTCTTAGTGCAAAGGTTGCAGTGGATTCTACTTCATGTTGTTCAAATAACTAGTCAGTTATGGTTACCATAGTTGGAGTCTGTGACTCACATACACATCACATTACATAACATGACAATCATTGTATATTGAAATTTTACATTATGTTACTAATGAAAATTACATTTCAGTACAATCTAGAAAGTGCCCAAGGAACCACATTTAAAAACTATAAAGTTACTAAAATCAACTTCAGTAATTGTGAATACACTGTTTGTATCCTTAACCACCCAAAACTTATGTCTTAATGTTTTTTTTTTCTGTTTTATTTATAATATATTAAAAATGTACTTACCCACAGCTACAGAGATCACAGTATTTATTCTCCTACGCAAGAGAGGTCATTTTCTGCTAGAATGTGAGGAAACATTTCTAAAAGACAATGGCAGTGGGCCTCCCTGGTGGCTCAGTGGTTGAGTGCTGGGCTGCCAAGCTGGCCGCAGCCTCTGCAGTGCCAGTTTAATCCCTGGCTGGCCGCTGGGCAAGGGTCCCACATGGCGTTCAGATCTCTCCTGCTGCTCCCCTCAGCAGTGTCCTCGTCTGTCAGCCTGTTCTGTTCCCTGCTCTGGCTCTGGTGAATTCTCTTACCCTCCTGCACTTCTGACTATACCCAGTGCTTGTATAAATAAAATAAATAAATCTAAAAAAAAAAAAAAAAAGACAATGGCAGTAACTAAGTCCATGCTGTGTAGTTTTGCCTTTACAGGTTTGGATAGCATAAGCATAAGTCTAATATTAGCTGAAATAGTTACATGAGGACAGTATTATAACTAGATAAACCTAAATATGTAGCTGTAATATCTAGATGAGAAACTTTATAATGGCGAGTTCTGGATCAGTGATATATTTTGTAAAAGGAAAAGAATATATTATATTATCAATTAATTTTAGCTAACATAAAAGGCTCATAACTAGACAGTTGATTCCTAATCTCACAAACCGTGGCATCATGAACAGTATAATGAGCTGTAAAGAACTGAGGTTAAGCAAAAAATGATATTATGAGTAAAATTGCATCATGGTACTGAAGGAAATCTAAACTGCTGTTTTCAAATCGAACTGATGGATTTTTAAACTTCATAACATTTTTAGTCTTCTAATAATTTTTAAAATTTATTATGTCATTGAAATTTTTCAGTGGCTGAAAATCACATAGACAATTGCTTAGTGGACTTTCTTCCTTTATTAAAAGCATAAAAAAATTGGCTTTGAAGGTCATCCAAAGTAGCTTCCAAAGGTTGAGGACGTTTACAGTTTAGACAAGCATCAGAATCAGGGGATCCACTCCTGTAAGGCAGTAAGAGTACAAAGAGAGTTCATAAAACAGAGCATAACATATTTTAGGGGAGCTGTCAATTTTCTACAATAGGGAATAAGGACGGGATGCTAGAATATAGTAAGCTCTAACCAAGAATGATTCCGTTGTCCTGTCTAGGATGGGGGTTGAAGGGACTAAGTAGAGCAATCAAAGAAACTCTTTTTTTTTCAGAATCAAGGTACATAATTAGGCCAATAGTAAATGAAGGGGACTCTTCTATATATTGGAATTCATCAAGTCACAGACTTCATTCCCATCTCCTTTTTGCTGTTGGGAGAAAGTGCCTCCTTCTCAGACATACCACTGCCTGCTTTCTGAGTCAGTCTCTGAATTTGTCTTTGAATCAGTCTCATACCCAACCAGAAAGTACTCTTGATTTTTTGTTCTTAAAAATCTCAGCCCAACATATATACACAATGGAATATTATTCGGCAATGAAAAAAGATAAACTCATGCTATTCACAGCAACGTGGATGGAACTAGAAGGAATTATGCTCAGTGAAATAAGCCAGAAGGAAAAAGAAAAATATCAGATGGTTTCACTTATAGCAGGAATATAGGGGAACCAAATAAGACATCAGTGTAAAAAAAATATTAACAGTACAAAACACAACAAAGCAAAAATGGACAATTATAAATCAGAGACATTCCACAGGAGAGGAAGCGGGAGAGGGATCAGAGGGAGGGAGGGAGGAGCACAGGGTACTGAGGTGATGGTGCACGACAGGTGCATTGGTGAAGGAAACTCTATGGGGACTACACCTGAGTGGGTGGGGGAGGGAAGAAAATATTGTTTAAAATTGAACAATGATGTAAAAAAATAGAAAAGTTAATATAAAAAAAAAAATCTCAGCCCAAGCTGTGCCCACGGATTTTATAGTCCTCAGTTGCCTCCTCCACAGCAGCCCAGGACATGTGTTTTCTGCTTAAAAGTCCAAGTGAGATTCACTATCAGTCCACTTAGCTGGCATCATGACAACTTCATAACATTGCCTAACCTTTCTCTTCCAGGGGCAAAAAGATATTTCCAAGTACTGTCAAACTCAGCCCATTTGTCTGCCTTGTGCTGCTAAATACTACCTACCAATTCGACCCCCTAAAGACCAACACCAGCACAAACTAATACATACTCCATTAAAAGACATATAAGTATATGTCTTTGAATACTGATTATTTCTGACTTCTTACCTCTCAAAGATAATGTTACAATCCAAAAAAAATTTATCTTTATCTGTCTCACTTATAAAATCCTTGACAGACATGTACATGCATGTAGACAACTGAGTGAAGTATGCCATCTGTTGGTGAAATGTATTATTTAATTTTTAGATAGCTTGTTGTTTCTATGTGTTTGATATTCTGGACCATTCCTGAGGCAATAACAGTGTGCCTCCTAACACAATCATATTACAAAACTCAAATATTATTAGGCATATAAGTCAGCAGCTAGTACTATTTGATTTGAAGGCATGGGGAATGTGAAGAAAGTAAGGAAGGCAAAGACTTTTATACTACTCTGGACAAAGAAAACCACTGTGAAGAAAACTAATGATAATTTACCCTAGTTTTTTTTTTTAAATACATTTGAAGAAAAATTGAGAAATATCCTTACTGATAATTCACATGTAGCTAGAGTTTGCACAATTCAACAATACAGATGGATGTTCAAAGGTGTGTAATTCTCAAACAGTGTTAGAAAACTAGAATTTTGAGATGAAAAATGTATTACTAACACAAAATAATCAAGAGGTAATGTCAGAAAAATGGCAAAAAAGGAAGTCCTGGACCATCCTTTCCTACAAACTTACCAACTCAGCAACAACTCACAAATAACTTCCCTTTGTGAGAAATCCAGAAATTAAGTGAAAAGTTTATACAATCCAGACTCAAAAGCCAGCAGAAAGAGGAGGGACAACTTCTGGCTGGAGTCTATGTCCCAGTCAAAGGAAACCCTATAACTCTTGACATATTTCAGAGGAGGGAAAGATTTGGTTTGGGCTCAGTGACTCAACTTTCCTGAGAAGGGTCCCAGAGGACTGATCTCTGTTTTGTTAGTTTTGGAGCATAGATGGGTCCATCACAACCTAGCTGCCCTGGGGAAAAACAGAGATGGCAACTTGGGGTGGTAAGCACAATAGCTCCCCCTTTTGCCCAGTGCAAAGAGAGCAGATAAAGAAGTAGAGGTTTCCAGTGACACCATGCACCCCATATAGACAACAAGAACATATGAGGTCTGGTAGCCTTTATATCAGGGGCCAAGTTCTTTGGCACCCACTTGTCCAAGGCAGATGGTCAGCTGGGTCGGGTAGCTCTAGAGGTATGAATGTTTGAGACTGGGTGCAGAGGAGCAAACTGCACATGCATACACCCAACATGCACTTCTCAGCATCCAGAAAACCTCGGTCTCTGTCCCCATCCCCATGACATGGGTATTTGAGGGTCACAGTACTCTGCCAAGGTCCAAACTGCTCCAACACAAAGAGGCTTACTTCACTAAAGCCAGCTTCTGTGGTATCTCAGAAGTCATGCCATCTCCAACTGAGCTGGAAAGTCTGTGAATAAGAGTCCTGATTACCAAAAAACAAAACAAAACAAAACAAAACAAAACAAAACAAAACAAAATATTTCTCTATCAATAACTACTATAAATGTAATGGATCAAGGTCTCCAATCAAAAGACATAGAGTGGGGCCTCCCCTGGTGGCGCAGGCAGTTGAGCGCTGCCCTGTGAAGCTGTCTGCAGCCTCTGTGGCACCAGTTCGATCCTGGCCGGCTGGCAAGGGTCCCACATGGCGTAGCAGACCTCTCCTGTCTGGCCTGCTGCTTCCCTCAGCAGTGTATTTCGTCAGTCTGCCTGTTCTTTTCTCCGCTCTGTCCCTGGTGAATCCTCTCACCTTCCCATGCATCTGGCCTATACCCCGGTTCTTGTATAAATCTTTTTAAAAAAAAAAGACGTAGAGTGACTGAATGGAAAAATATCAAAACTGAAACAAAATATGATATGACCCAACTATATAGAAACTACAAGAAACTCACTTTAAGTTTAAGGAAATACATTAGTTGAAGAGCATGGATGGGAAGTTAGTATATGAAAATGGCATATTGGTGTCTAAAAAAGGGAAGGAATGGCTGTACTTTTGTAAGACAAAATAGATATTCAGGCAAAACCATCATAAGAGACAAGAAGGACACTACAAATAATAAAAGAACCTACCCACAAAGAAGATACGACAATTATAAATATACATATGCACCCAACATTGGAACACCTAGATGTACAAAACATACATTGTCATAATTTAATGGGAAACAGATAACTGTACAATAATAGAGACTCCATTTTCAACACTGAATAGAACACCACACATAACATCAATGAGAAAACAGAAGGTTTGAACATCACTACAGACCAAATGGACTTAGCAGACATATAAAGAACATTCCATCCAAAAACAGAATACATGTTTTTTCAAGCACAAGTGGACCTTTTCTAGTATAGATCATATGTTAAGTCACAAAACAAGTCTAAGCAAATTTAATAAGATTAAAATAATACCAAATATCTTTTCTGACCACAGTGGAATGGAATAAAATGAATAGGAGAAGGAAAATTTAAAGCTTCACAAAAATGTGGAAAGTAAGCAGCATATTCTTCAATGATCAAGGGTCAAAGAATAAATAAAAAAGGACATTAGGAAGTACCTTAAGAAAAACAAAATTAAAAATACAACCTATCAAAACAACATAACATATTAGATGACATATGTTGTCATCTAAGAGGTCAGTTCATAGCAATACATACATACATTAAAAAAAGAAGGAAGAATAGTATCTATGTAAAATTTTGGAAATATAACTATCCTTACTATGATAACCATTTCACAATATATATGTATATCGAATCATCACATTTTATACTTTAAGCTCACACATGTTATGTGGATTATATCTCAGTAAAACTGAGAAAAAAAGAGGACACATCTCAGATAAACAATTTAACATTATACCCTAAAGAGATAAAGGAGAAAAAAATCAAGCTTATGTTAACAAAAAGAAGGAAATAACAAAGATTAGAACAGAAGAAAAATGAAATAGAAAATATCAACAAAACTTTGAGTTTATTTTTTTAAAAAGATTAACAGAATTAACAAACCTTAGCTAAACTAAGAAAAAGAGAGAAACCCCAATAACTGAAATCACAAATTAAAGAAAGCACATTATTGAGAGAACAGTGTTCTCTGCCTGAGGAACCTGGTTGGGTGTGGAGAGGTTTTCCCTTTTCCCATTGCTTTCTCATTATTGCTTTGGAGACTGATTCTCGATTTGGAATACTCAGTTGGGTAAGACTCCACATGAGAAGAGTCTATACCATCACATTCAAGTCAGCTTCTAGAACAGTGTAGGTAAATGATCATGAGCCTGCTCTTTGAAAATAAGGATATAAGTAGGTTTGATGGAAAAAGCTCAGCTGTCTTACCCTTGATCTCCCATATTGTCCAGGCTGGAAAAGTGTTCAAATTTTCTATTAAGAACTGAGCAGATTCAGTCTACACATACTTTATTTAACTATGTTTCCCCAATAACTACCTCTTTACCAGGTAATCGAAAGGACTGCCTATACTCTATGACCCCAATGATCTCTTCTATTATCATACAGCACCCAGGGTAGTGAATTCCATGTTTTAGAATGCTTAGAAAATGAGTGTGGCTACTGGATGAGACTTCATGAGATTGTGGCATTTCAAGTGGCCAAACAATTTCAGACCCAACCTTTTAAACCCAAAGGTATCTCACTTGTCCCACTATGCCCCAGATCCCTGGCATCTGCTAGGTTTGCCTTTGAGGCTTCAGACTTGCAAGGACCTGCATAGTGTGTCTGGCAGGAAATAGAATTTGATTCAGGAATAAGGGGAAAAAGAAAATCATAAGGTGGTACTGTACATTAGTTTTCCTCAGGATTCTCCAAAACTTGAAATGTAGCATTAACGGACTCTGTTACTTCATAGGCATCAGATGCTCCATGGACAGCATTTCTCAAAATATTAACTCCAAAGCGGGCTCTAAGAGAACCTGGGGACAAGAATTTTGCTTCCTCTGGGTCTGTGGGACCCATCAATCTTCTCCATTCCGTAATAGCATTCCACTTGCTCAGAACCATGACCCGAGATGGACCCCTGAAAATAACAGTACTTTCAGTTGACTATTTACAACTGTAGACATTATATACATGGCTAGACAAAATGCCACAGCTTCATTCAGAGAGTTACTCTTTGGTTTATTTGTCCTTGTCCGTGTGATTCTGTACTCCCCCCTTTTTTTCCATTTCTCCCTCTTCCAAAGATTTTGTGCTAGAAGAGTGCAGTAGCTTAATTCCAGGAATATATGCCAGAAACTGTCCCAAGTAGTTTCAACATATTGATTATTTAGTCCTCACAATAAAACTATGAGATAGGGACTATTACTATTCCCATTTACAGATAAGGAAACTGAGGCACAGATTAGGTCTCATGACAAATCCAGGATTTAAAAGCAGAGATTTAAAACTGATAGCCACTATATCTAATGAGAAAACCTAAGGAAACAAAGAAAGAATGGAAGGGGAGGGAGGGACTGAGAGAGAGGAAGGGAGGGAGGGAGCGAGGGAGGGAGGGAGAGATAACAAAGGAAGGAAGAAAGGAGGTAAGGAGTTAAGGAAGAAGAAAGAGGAATATAGGAAAGGAAGAAAATAGAAAAGAAATGAATCCCAAATGTCAACAGGATAATCATTTTTAATCAATGAAATTAGATGGAATGTTTTCATAAATGTTTGCATTTTCCACATTGCTATAATGAACAATTACTACATTTATAACGCGAAGAACTATATACAAGAAACTTACTCAGTAAGCATTTCCAACAGATCTTTATAAAACTCCTTTCCTGTTATTTTTATATAAATTTTTTCTACTTGCTCTTCAGTTAGGACCAGGTCCTTTGCCTGTATTATATCAAAAAAATCTTCTTTGATACGCTTTATGATCTCCTCTAGGAAAACAGATATTTGGTAATCTTGCTGATTGCCTCCACTTCATATTGATTAACATAATTAAGAAAAGTAATACTTTTACTTGCATTATGGTTTATAAAACCAAATCTTATGCTAAACTGAATCTAAAAAGAACCAGATTGACACTGAAAAGTACTTGATATGTTGATGAAGATGTTCAATCTCTGAGACCTGCCTTTGCAGAAACCACTGTAAACATCTAATGGACTATAAAAGGTGGCTAGAAAGAATCTGCTCCTAAAAGTGATGACATGTTTTCATCTCCATGTTATAGATACCAAGGGATTTCTTGCTATATGTGGATTGAAGGGAAGAGTCCATCTGAAACTCTTCTCCCTGAAATAGCAAGGCACCATTGAAGGAATTAAATAAAGTAAATCACAGTAAATAAAGTAAGCTATTCTCATCAATAGCTTAAACTTAGGAAGGATTCTGAACTTTTCCCTAAAGACAATGTGAAACATCTAAAGCATTCTAAGCAGGAAACTAGATAGATTTACACTATATAATAAATAAATAAATTTTAGTTATCTCAGATATAAATATAATAAAACCTGGTTTGGAAGAGGATTGTGAGGATGCAATCAGATGATGTATTTGAGATATGTGTACCATATTAAGCTCTTAATAAACATTCTATCCCCTTCTTTCACCACTAATTTTTTTGTCAAGCACTGGAAATGGTATTTGACTGTATAACTAATAACCTAAGGGAAGGTTATTTCCTTTGCAGTATGGAGGAAGAATTAGGGTAAAGTCATTGGAAAGAGCCTATAGACAAGATGAAGGCTAATGCAGTCTATTGAAGGTGCCCCTTCTCAGGAAAGGAAGTATTTTGAAAAGGAAAAATCCCTTGGATTGCTTGGGGAAGCAAGTGGCAGAGATCCATGTCCATAGATAAACAGAGAACATTGCAGAAATAAGAGATGGATCCATTCCCTGACATTAACATAATTTTTCATATTAATGTATGTAAGAAGAAAAAAAATCACCATCTTCATCAACTTTTAAAAGGACTTCACCAAAATTTGATGCCATTTTTATTACAAGGGAAAGGAAAGGATAGGTAAGGAAGTCGACAGAAAGCAAATATGACAAAAGTTAATTGTTGAATTTAGATAGAGGTACATGACTGATCCATTGCATTATTCTTTTAACTTTTCTGTAGTTTGAAAATTTTCACAAGATGTGGAGAAATTACATACATTGCCTTTTATTTTAAAATACTTACCTCTTCCTTCAGCTGGTACATGTGGTTTAATCAGTGCAAAAGTGGTTTGAGGAGGAAAGAAATACTGTATTTCCCTTTCAGCAGTTTCTAAAGAATCACTTCCATATAACTGATTGATAGGCAAACTCTCCATTGCAAATTGTGCACATAAACTTTGAAATAGAAATCAAGTTAAAATTGCTACAGCATAACTTAACAAAATATAACAAAAGATAACCTAACCTATTTATATAAATCTTTTGATATTGGGGCCTCCCTGGTGGTGCAAGGGATTAAGTCGAGGCTCTATGAAGCAACCCACAGACACTGCAGCATGAGTTCAATCCCCAGCCAGGGTGCTACCCACATGGCACAGCAGACCTCTCCTGACTCACCCGCTGCTCTGCTCAGCAGTGTATTTCGGTCTACCTGCCTGTTCTGCTCCTCACTCTGTCTCTGGTGAATCCTCTCACCCCCCACATCTCTGGCCTGTATTCCAGTGCTTGTATGCATAAATAAATAAATCTTTAAAAAATAATAAATCGTTTGTTATCAAACAAGAACTGCTTGTCCCTGACCTAGGCAAAAGCAAGCAATTACAGAGACACTTAATGAATGTTGTCTCCTTCCAAGGAGGCATTAGTCATTAAGATGAAAAGGCATGAGTATTTAAATAATCATGATGATGTGGGCCTCCCTGGTGGTGCAACGGGTTCAGATGCAACCATGAAGCTCGCCATAGCCACTGCAGTATGTGTTCGATCCCCGGCCAAGGACCTACGCACATGGCTCAGCAGACCTCTCCTGACTCGCCCGCTGCTCCCCTCAGCAGTGTATTTCAGTCAATCTGCCTGTTCTGTTCCCCACTCTGTCTCTGGTGAGTCCTCTCACCCCCCACAACTCTGGCCTATACCCCAGTTCTTGTATGTATGAATAAATAAATCTTTAAAAAATAATCATGATGATGGTTATTCACAGATAACTAAGAAAGAAGGAGTATATGCCTGGTGCACTGCAAAAGCACAGAATATAGAATCCTGGTTGGGCTACTAGCTCACTATGTGTTATTGGGCAATTATGTAATTTCTCTGTATTTTAGTTATCTCAGATATAAATATAATAAAACCTGGTTTGGAAGAGGATTGTGAGGATGCAATCAAATGATGTAGTTGAGATATGTGTACCATATTAAACTCTTAATAAACATTCTATCCCCTTCTTTCACCACTAATTTTTTGTCAAGCACTGGAAATGGTATTTGACTGTATACCAAAAATATCAATGGAAATTGAAAAAAAAATTAGTTTGACATATTTGTCATTTATTTTACAAATACATTTGTATTACTCCATAGTCAAAAGAAATTAAAATGGCTCCCATGAAAAAAGTTGGTCAGCCACATGAATCTTACCTCTTTGGGTCATAGTCTATAGCGTCTTCAACAGTGCTTGGACCTACTAACTCTTTCCAGTGTTGTAATCCATTGCCTCTTGATAAAACAAGAGCTAGAGATGGACCACTGTTAGGAAGAAAAAATAAGTTCATGAAAGAATGGCTCAGTAGCTAATTATATAGAGGCAATACAATGTACTTATCAAATATATGAAAAACATCAAACAATCTTTTAACAGGAGTCTGAAATTAGTTCCCATTGTTATATTCTCAAGACATATTTATAAAAAGGATGGAAGCAGACAAAGGAAAGGAAGAGACTTAGTTCTGACAGAATGGTTCCTGTATTGCTCCTAAGCGCTTGCTGATTTAGATACCCTGCTGACTTCCATCTCAGTTGTATTTCACTTCCTTTTCTAGAAACTTAGAGATTTCTAGCATCCCATTCTCCTAGCACCAGTAATCTTTAGGATTATCAAAGCCCCTGAGAGTCAATAAATTCTCTGCTTGGACTTGATGATGTCTCATATCCTGATTTCTAGCATTCAACTCAACTAGGCTCTAGCAACTTCACCTGAGATCTTCCCTTTACTCCAACAATATTCAAGGAGGACTAGAGAAGACTGACAGTTAAGAAGAGAATTGAGATGGGAGAGAGATTGACAAAGTAGGATTCTGTATATTTTTACAGAATAGAGAGGATTGACTATTTGAACAGAGAGCAGGTTTAAGAGATGATTTAAGTTATTCAAAAATAAATCAGATTGTGCTTTTTAAACCTGAAATCTACTATACCTGGTCATGTTTTTTATAATATTTCCAAAATAATCTTTATTTTCATATTCCTTACACAGTGTTTGTGCTTCGTCTTCTGATAATACCAATTGTCTTTGCATCTGTATTTTAAAGCCATTATCTTCAATAATTTTCAAAACATCCTCTAAAATAAAGTTACATAAGTTTTAAACTGCTAGGCTATAAGCTTTCAACACAACACTATATATTATCATGAGGGCATATCATGCAATATATTCTCATATGAAACTTAAAAGCTTACAAAAATAGCTTATTAGATAATAATTTACAGTGAGAAATATTTTTCACATGTGAAATTAGGATGTTACTTCCACATTTTCACCACACAGAAATCATGCACATATGTACCTACTTGTAACCCCCAAGTGGGAGATCACTTTGGGTAGCTTTATTCATAAATATTAAGTTATGTTTGTATAAAGTAAGTTATACTTCATCTAACATGTAAAATTTTCCCAGTGTGTTTAATTAAAGGAAAATTAGAATAGTCTCGACACAGTATCTGGGAAAGATTAATATTTTAAATAAAATAAGTGTTATCAAATCAACTCCAGTAGCATAGTGCAAGGCATGAGCTATTAATGTTTATTCTAAGAGCCCAAGGAAAGATACACTGCAGAACTACTACCAAAGATGTATTTGGGAATGAAACCTCAGCAGCAAAGGAAACAAAACTGAAAATAAACAAGTGGGACTATATCAAACCTAAAAGTTTTGGCATCCCAAAAGAAATCATCACAAAAACAATAAGTCAACCTACAGAATAGGAAAAAAGTATTTGCACCCTATGCATCTGATATGGTGTTAATTAACAAAATTTACAAAGTGTTCATACAATCCAACAACAAAGAAACAAACCAATTTAAAAAATGGGCAAAGGACCTTAGAATACATTTCTCTAAAGACATTCAGATGGCCTATACATATGAAAAAAGTGTTCAACATCCCTTATTGTAGGAGAAATGTACATTAAAACCATGCTGAGGTACCACCTCAATCCTGTGAGAATGTCCCATATAAAAAAGAATGGAATTAACATATGTTGGTGATGTTGCAGTGAAAAAGGAACTCTCATCTGCTGTTGCTGGGAAAGCAAGTTGGTACAGCCCCTGTAGAAAACAGTATGGAAATGTCTCAAGAAAATAAAAGTGGAAATCCTATTTGATCCAGCAATACTGCTATTAAGTGTCTATCTAAATAACATGAAAAATTTAACATGAAAAGAGCTATCTACACCTATGTACATAGGAGCACTGCTTGCAACTACCAAATCATGGAACCAATCCAAGTTCCCTTCAATAGATGGATAGAGAAACTGTGGGGCATATATTTAAGGAATAGCACACAGCTGTGAAAAAAAGATGAAGTGGTGGCATTTGGCACATAATGGATGAACGTTGAGGCGATTATGTTGAGTGAAATCAGCTAAAAAGAGAAAGGCAGATATCAAATGGTTTCACTCATCTACAGACAATAAATACCAAAAAAGCCCTAAAATAAAACACACAAACAATAAAAGAAATAAAAATATGAACTTGGCAAAAAAGAAAATAATGGTTACCAGAGGGAATAAGGGAAAGGTTGAAGGGGATGAAGCACGGAGGTAGATGGGATATGAGCATGGATGGTTATGTGGAAGCAACAACAAAAAGAAAATGTTACAAATATGGCACACCTTAATCTAAAATATTTATAATCACTTTAAATGTGATTGTTTGTCATCTCATTTTATGAGGCTTGTAATACCATTACAACAAACCCAGATAAAGACATTACAAGAAAAGAAAAAGAATTATAACCCTAATAATTGTGGATACAGAAGTCCTCAACAAAATATTTAAAGTTCAAAACTCACAATATGTAAAAAGGACATATACAACTGCCATGTGTGGTTTATCTGTAGGTTGCAAGAATGATTCAGCAATCAAAAGTCAAAATATCTACCATATTATCAAAATGAAGAAAGAAAAAAAAAACAATATTAGTAGATATAGAAAAAAAAATTGAGAAAATGCAGTATTTATTTATGATAAAAATCTCCCCAAACTAGGGATAAGTGGAAATTTCCTTAATTTGATAAAGAGCATATAAAGCTAACTTTATACTTTTGGTAAAAGATTTAATGTCTTTAGTGTAAGGTCAGGAAGAAGACAGGTGGGTGTGCTCTCACCTCTCCTAGTCAGCATCAAAAATTTCTGGACCTACTAAACATAGAGCTTCCATATGATCCAGCAATTCCACTCCTAGGTATTTACCCAAAGGACACAGAAACATCAATTCCAAAGAACACCTGCACCCCTATGTTTATAGCAGCACTATTTACAATAGGTAAGCTTTGGAAACAGCCCAAATGCCCAAAAATAGATGAATGGATCAAGAAGATGTGGTACATATATACCATGGAATATTACTCAGCATTCAAAAAAGATAAACACATGCAATTTGCAGCAACATGGATGGCGCTGGAAGGGATCATGCTCAGCGAAATAAGCCAAAAAGAAAAAGAAAAATACCAGATGGTCTCACTCATAGCAGGAATCTAGAAAACTTAAATAAGGGACCAGGAAAATGAATAACTATAAGAAAGTGAAAATCAAAATCAACAAAAAACTATGAAACAGAGACACTTTTTGGGGGTGGGGGGCGGGAGGGGAGGGATTGGGGTCAGAATGGGGGGGGTGCAATTGTATGGGGAATATAAAAATAAAATTTATTATTAAAAAAAAAAAAAAAACAAAAAGTTAGTTCTAGCTAGTCTAATGAGGCAAGCAAAAGAAAAAAGAAATACAAAGCACACATAAGAAAAAGCGGTCTCAGGCCTCCCCGGTGGTCAGTGGGCTGAGCACCGTGCTGTGAAGCTGTCCGCAGCCTCTGCAGTGTTGGTTTGACTCCGGCCTGCAGGCGAGAATCCCACATGGCGCGGCAGCCCTCTCCCGTCTCGCCCGCTGCTCCCCTCAGCAGTGCATTTCTGTCGTCTGCCTGTTTTGTTCCCTGCTCTGTCTCTGGTGAATCCTCTCACCCTCCTGCCCCTCTGGCCTGTACCCCAGCTCTTGTATAAAAATAAAAAAATCTAAAAAAAAAAAAAAAGAAAAATCAGTCTCAATTTGCAGACAATATTGTTATTGACATCAATGGTTCTCAGGCTCACTTTTAGCAGGAATATAGGGGAACCAAATAAGACATCAGTGTAAAAAAATAGTAACAGTACAAAACACAACAAAGCAAAAACAGATAATTATAAACCAGAGACATCCTGTAGGGGAGGAGGAGGGAGAGGGATTAGAGGGAGGCAGGGAGGAGCACAGGGGACTGAGGTGATGGTGCACGGTGCATTGGTGAAGGAAACTCTATGGGGACTACACCTGAGGGGGTTTGGGGCAGCAAATATTGTTTAAAAATAAACAGTGTTGTAAAAAATAAAAAAAATCAATAAAAAAAAAAGAAATTTTACTCCAAGGGGAATTTGACAATGTCTGAAGACATTTTGGGCTGTAATTACTGAAAGCAAGAGGAGAGAGTTATCTTCATCTAGTGAGCAGAGGGAGATTACTAAACATTTTATAATGCACATGACGCAGACCCCTCAACAAAGAATTATAGTCCAAAACATATGCAGGTTCTAGGTTGAGAAGCCCTGTTCTACATAGTAATCCCAAGAAACTAAGTGTGTTTAGATATTTCGCTAAAAAAGAGTAGGATGACAGTATATAAATATAAATTGTATTTCTGTTCATATGGTATAGAAAAGACTTGATAGTGTTAATTTATGATGTGTATTTTTACTCTTACACATTCATTCTGCTATTAAATATGGTATGAGATTAAAAATAACTGGCCTCTTTAAAGTGCCAGGCACTTGCTGTTTTCTCATTTTGTTCTTTTGTATTTTATACCTGAAAATAGACTTGGTAAAATCTCCTTTTCAAACCACGCTATTAGTGAAGGTTTGACCAAGCTTTGTATTTAAGGCTTTTTTTTTTTTTTTAATACTTTTTTTTTTTTTTTTAAGAGGCACGTATTTTTTATTTATTTATTTATTTGTTTGTTTGTTTATACATGCACTGGGCACAGTCAGAAGTGCGGGAGGGTGAGAGAATTCACCAGAGCCAGAGCGGGGAGCAGAGCAGGCAGAAGGACCAAAGTACACTGCTGAGGGGAGCAGCGGGCGGCAGGAGAGGTCTGCGCGCCATGTGGGACCCTCCTCCGGTGGCCGGCCGGGGAGCAGCTGGGGATTGAACCAGCGCCTTGGAGGTCGCGGGGAGCTTTGCAACCCAGCGCTCAACCGCTGCGCCACCGGGGAGGCCCCTGTATTTAAGGCATTTTAGATATGAAAGTTTCCAATCTTTATGAAGTAGGAATCCCTACCATGTAAAAATCTACTTTAACACATTCATAGGTTAGAAAATGCTTTCTAAACTTGTTAACTATAAAAATGCTTTATTCTTTGTGTTGAGAAATTAGTAGATTAATGCTAAGGAATTTTTTACTTTGGGGACTTTTTATTCAATGTTAAATATTAAAATAGTACCTTTTAATTTAATTGTACCAAAGTCTATTCAAGTCCCATGTACAAAATACATAAACAATTTATACTTTCTTACCTTTTCGTTCTGTAAGGAGATCTGGTCGAATTAGTGCCAGTATCCTTTCTAATTTTAAGCTTTTCATATTTTTAAAATCAGGGAAGAATATATCGATAAACTTATTAACATTATCTACATTATTTTCAACATCACAAAAATGAGATAAATGTTTTCTTTCCAGATATTCTTGCAAACTGTTAGAATCCAAACAAAAAATTTAAATTATTATAAACTGAAATTTAATAAACATGAGAGAAAATTAAAAGTAATATTATGTTCACAAATATCTTATAGTTTAATAAAACAATAAAAATTGAATTTCACATAGTTTTATTTCTCTAGCACATCAAAGAATATGTATTTAATTCAGCCTCTTATTAAAACATTCCAATAATAAATTATATTGACTCTTCTATGAGTGACTTTAGGAGAGGCTAAAAGAAGATAAAGATAAAACCTGAGAATAAAATTTAAAATTTCTTTTCTTTTCTCTACTAAAGCTTTCTAAACAATTTCTCATTTTCCTTTAAATTTTGTCTTTAAGGATTATTTAGGAACCTATTGAAGATTTTCCAATAGATAAGACATTTTGGTCATCTTTTTATTATTTACTTCCTTTTTATTGGATTACAATGAGCCAATAAGTGTGGTGAAATCTTTTCCTTGCTATTTTTTCATTTTTAATTGAGGTAATATTGGGATAGCCCCATCAGGTAGTACCACTGTTAGTGCCAAATCACCATATTCCACCACCATAGACCATTGTGCTTCCTTTCCTCTTTGTTCTTTTCCCTGCCCCAACCCCTCACCAATTTGGTGCTTCGGTTTTGTAGTTAGCTCCTAAGGGTTAGTTTTTAAGCTTGTCTTTATCTGAAATCTTAATTTTAAAAAAATACATTAAAGTTTTGATTATAAACCAAGAAAATTTATTTGTGGGAGTTAAGCATGTATGTATGTGTGTGTGTGTCTTTGTGTGTATATATATATATATATATATACACACACACTGTATATATATATATATATATATACACACACACACACATACACACTGTTGATATATATCAACACTGCCTTCTCTTATGACAATTGCATTGATGAGTCTAACTTTTTTTAATAGCTCAAAAATTTTGGTATGACATCTGATATTATTTTGAGCCCAACACTCTCCACTCAAACCTTCTCTCTGCCCACTGATTATCATTGTCACTTAAATTTCTGAAAGTAAGTTCTACTGTTTACAAAACTCTTTATTAACAGTTGATTTACCCCATGAGTCCCTCTTATCTGAGATAAATCTTGGGATTCATATTAGATTCTGCCTGCTATTTAAACAGTCTAACATAACTAAGAACTAACTAGCTAAATAAGAAAAGTGACTACAATTTGTTAATAAGACACCAAGAAATTCCAATTAGATTCCAAGACAGAAAGTGCAATGGAGATAGGCTGCCCAGCAGGGAGAGACATATATTATTAAGCCTCTAGACTCAGATATTCTTAATATGTTCCTGTTCACCTTTCTTTCAGGCAAGGTTAACTATTTTTGTGTTAAACACTGAATTTTCTGAGTCTTCAGAGGAATAAAAGATAATGTCATACATAAAGCAAATGACTTTTGTTTGTTTTCACATATTTAAAAAACACTGGCAAATATATACAACTGTCTAGTTCTCAGCAATTTATAACTACTAATTACCTGCTTTAAGTAAAAGAAAAGAATACATTTGATGTCTTAAACACAGAAAAGTGGAAGAGGAATGTTGGGAGAGATTATGCGTGGTTTCAATCTATTCCTAGAACCCCAGGTCACAAGGCCAGACTGGCGTGACCAGTTTAAGAAGACAAAAAAAAAAAAAGTTCTTTCTCATCTGCTTGACATACACGTTCAGAACAATCCCAGCTTTGCCTTCAATCTTCAATACTTTTGATTATCTGGAAGAAATACTTTGGCTTCAACATAAAAATGAGATAATTGCCGTTACACTTCATTACCTACTAACATATCATGCACTGTTTATTCTAGAAGTACCTGTCCCGCTTTATTTTCCTCATCACAGGTTTAGAAATAACTTCCATCTCATGTTCATCCTCCAATACTTTGTCAGGTTGCAGCTCAGAATTATGTTCAATTTTTTTCTGGGGAGGCAGCTCTTTTCCTTGAGATACAACTATAATATGGCTTAGGGCTCTTGTCATGAAAGAGACAAAATCTTCAAAGTCAGGCTATAAAATAAAATAATAAACTGCTTACTTGAGCCTTTTGAAATGAATGGACTAAAATGGCAGTTACTACCCAAGTCCAATAACAGTTTCCCCTCCGGGATCACTGGGCAAGGGAACCTTATCCTTATAAACCTCCTGGTAAACATATCTTTGAAGAGTAGAAGTCTACAGTTAGCAAGGATGGATTTCAAAGATAGTCTAATTATTATTCTCAAACTTTAGTATACTTCCAAATCACTAGGAAAGCTTGTTCAAATACGGATTTGTTGAGCCTAATGGAAGAGTTTAGAATTCAGTAAATTCAGGGTAAGTCCCACGAATTGGATTTTCTCAGACGTTCCCAGGTAATGCTGATGTAGCTAGCTGTTCCAGGATTTTCCTTTTATGTATGTGGAAGCTGGGCCCAAATGACATAGTTTTGAGTGGTACAGTTAATTTCAAAATGTGTAGTCCAGTAGCACATTTTGTGAAACAGACATGTTCTGTGCTCTCTCACACACATAGTCACATGCCACTAGTGAACACTTAGAATGTGACTAGTGCACATTTTAAGTGAATTTTAATGGTATTTAATTTTAATGCATTTAAATTCAAATTCAATATGTATCTAGTGGTTATCTTATTGGTATATTTCAAGAAGCCATGTCTCCTCAACCCCAAGCCAGTATACTTTCCAAACACAGTATGACTTTATTCTATCCCCCCAGGCAAAAGAAAATTTACAAAATAGTTTGTGAGCAAGGCCTTAGGTAAAGGAAGAACTAAAGGATTCCTGTGAAGTTTATGAAAAGAAGCCTTCAATTTGAGTCATAAATTTAGAGGAGAGGACTGGCTATTTATCTTCAGAAGCCGCTGCAGGGAAACTTACAGGACATAACATAAAGAAGTCTTCATTCTGGCAAACACAATTGGAGCCTACAACTTTGCACAGCTGCCACTATTTCTACTGGAAATTTCATTGCAGTCACTTTTGACTTACCACAATATGGACACCAAAAGGGGCACTTGGAGATTATTTGGTTGGCCAGACTTGGTCACTATTTTCTACATTGAAGCTCTAAAAGTTGCAGCTATCCACTGTATTTGCAAAATATAGTAGGTTTTTTATAAAACTTTCTTACCTCATCTGCTATTGAACTGTAGAAGTCCCTTACTTGTTCTTCAGTGATAAATCTCTTATCTTCTGCTTCTATGATAAATCCTGCCTTGATAATCTTTAATTAGAGTGTGAGATCCAGGCATATCATGGGACCACATGTAAAACAAGTCAAGGACAATTGTTTCAGGATTAACAAATCATCCAGATTTGAATACATTTCATGTAAAGACCTCAGCACAATTTCCTCTATTGCACATGCAACATTCTTTCAAATTTCAATATAATTTTGTTTCAACATGAAGTTATAGTTTAGGAGTCAGTATACTAATCTCCTGAAATTAAAATATGGCTGAGCACCTGCTTTTGGAAATGGAGTTCATAGGAACCCAGACACTTGTTTACACATATCTACTGCTACTTTCTCAATATGATGGCAGACTTAAGCAGTTGCAACAGAGATCATATATCATGCAGACTTTTCTTTTTCAGATGTTTCATCATTAGTGTATAGAAATGCAATTTTAAATCACTTCTATCTTGCCCATTACAGAAAAAGTCTGTCAATCTCTGGACTAGAGTACAATTTTTCTTTAAAAAAAAATATTTTCACTCTAAATCAAAACATTAAATACTTTCTTAAGCTATCAAATTTAAGAAGAACCATATATTTGTTATAACATATGGGGAATAAAGCATTTAATGTGAACTTATAATGAGCTTGCATTGCTAATAACTAAACATGAAAATGAGTTTTGCAATCCAATATCAGAATTGTATTTTCTACCATTTATGTTGGATGCTGGTAGAGAAGAATTATTTAAAGATGCTTGCGTAGGTCTTTGCAAAACCAAACCAAAAGAGCCATCAGCAATTCCTATCACCAGAACTTCATTATGTTCTATTGTGCACTGAAAGATAAGCTTGTATTCAAATTTATAATTAAGGGTTATTATTTTGCAATTACTTTAAACTATTGTTGGAAAATAATACTTACTTTTTCTCTAATTTCTTTAGCTTTTCCAGTAATTACAGCATCAGGCTTGAAAATAGCAAACTGATAAAGGCCCTCTAGGAAAAAAAAATAGAAGAAATTCATGTTCTTGATGTAAAGTTTAGATAATAAAGGATTTGGATATTATAAACATGAACTATGAATTTCCAATGAATTTTTGTTTTATCTACCATAGAGTTTCTCCCTAGAGAAATACAGGCACTTCCTGGTGGCCTGGGGTTAAATCTCAGTGCTATCAGTGCTACAAATTGAGTTTGATGCCCGTCCAGGGAGCTAACCGACATATGGTGCAGTAGGCCTCCCCTGTCCCGTCCACTGCTCCGTTTAGCAGTTTATTTCAGTAAATCCATCTGTTCTTCTCCCTACTCTGTCTCCGGGGAATTCTCTTGCCATCACCCCACCTCTCCTGCACCTCTGGCCTACACCCCAGTTCTTCTATGCATAAGAAAATAAATAAATCTTTTTAAAAAAGAATCATTAGTCTTTTTCCTGGTCCCTTATTTAGGTTTTCTAAATTCCTGTTATAAGCGAGACCATCCAGTATTTTTCTTTTTCTTTCTGGCTTATTTTGCTGAGCATGATCCCTTCCAGCTCCACAAAGAGTAATAAAGAATATTAAAGAATAAAAAAAAAGAATTATATACAGTTCTTACATTTGTATGCAAGAAAAACTGTCACACACACAAAATGAGTAAGTAGACACTCATAATAACACAATTTACATATAAGCATTCCCATAATACATCTAGCTGCCTGAGTATAGCTGGTGAATGGAGTTTCAAATGCAAGTAAACATTACAAACTGAGAGATTTAACATCTTTGGATTTATTTATATATTCTTTTGATCAACTTTTAGTGCAAGACAATTCACTGAGAAAATATTGTTTGCCTCTGCTCCCTTGGAGTATAAATGTATACTCATACACTCACAAAGACAATCCAAAAAGGGCAGAAATCTGTTAACTGTAAAGTAAAACAGGAGTATGGGTCATCAAGGAAGAAATTATTTTCACCAGTTTTTTGAAGATGATAAAGGATGAAATAAGCGAAAGCTATTTTCCAGATTAGTCACTAGGGATATAGTTCCTGATAATGGGTAACCTCTGAAGGGCTCCAGGAATAGAGACCAAAAGAATGGCAGTGGGAGCAAAGAAGTTGTTTTCAATAGCTGAGTTGTTTTGCACAAATCATTATATATCCCATCAGTTCCTTATTAATTAACAGTAATGTCACCAATTTTGCTGCTACAAGCAATGTTGTAACGAACATCCATGTACAGAAATTCTCTTGCCATAACATTAAAGTAAATTTACTTGCCAGGATTTTCATATGCTCCTTCCCCGGCATCTTCTGAATCGGAGTCTACCAATAAAATTTCTGGATGCTATGGGAGAGAAATGTAAATAAAACACAGTTATAGTTCAATGTGAGAGTAAAAAGAGTTTTCAGAAATTTTATTTTGAGTAAATGTTTATAATCTAAGGGATAGAAGGTAAAACAGAAATGTATATGCATTCATCTATTTCTATTAAAATGAGAAATATTTAAAATGATGGGGGTGACTATGAGAGATAATGTAAAAGGTTAAAAACAAGAATCCTAAACCTTAAGAAAAATACACAGAATAAAATAAGGAAGAAGGAGAGATTAGCAATTAGAAAGCAATAAACACATAATTATCACCTTGACCATTTAAAACAAGTCCAAATAAGTCCAAATTAAGATGTTCTCTAAGTAAAAAATTTCAAAGAGCACATTTCAAAGACTAGTAGGAAAATGAATGTGGAATATATTATTTTTTATATTGAGTGCATCTTAATATAGGAGTATTTTAAAATTTTTATTGAGGTAAGTTGGTTTAAAAATAGTATGTGTTCCAGGTGTACAGCATTATAATTACACATTGGTATGTATCACATCATTATCTTCCTCAAAAGTTTACTTTCCATGCCCCAATATATAATTGACATCCATTATCTGTTTCTAGGCCCTAGCCCCTTTGGTAGCCACTGCTCTCTGCATCTGAAGTTTGATTTTGTTTTGTTTTGTTTGTTCATTTACTTTGTTTTCTGAGTTCATTAATTTGCTTTGTTTTTCTTTCTTTTTTTTTTTTTAAAAGATTTATTTATTTATTTATTTATTTATTTATACAAGCACTGGGTACAGTCAGAAGCATGGGAGGGTGAAAGAATTCACCAGAGCCAGAGCGGAGAGCAGAACAGGCAGACTGACGAAATACACTGCTGAGGGGAGCAGCAGACGTGGCAGGAAAGGTCTGTCGTGCCATGTGGGACCCTCACCAGTGGCCGGGGATTGAACCAGCGCTGCAGAGACTGTGGGCAGATTTGCAGCCCAGCGCTCAACCGCTGCGCCACTGGGGAGGCCCCATTTGCTTTGTTTTTCTATGACCCACATATGAGTGAAGTCAGATGATGTTCATATTTCTTCTGACTTATTTTACCTAGCTTAATACTCTCAAGATGCATTCATGTTGCTAATAAAAATATAGTATAAACAGAAATAACAGAGTAGAAGAATGCAATAATTGAACTGAAAAGTTCAATATAGGTGTTCAACAGCAGACTTCACCAAAAAAAAAAAAAAAAAAAAAAAACACCACAACAAACAACTGCATACCCACAGAGGCAGTTGGCAGCCAATGCATTCAACAGACACAAGCTGTCCAGCAACCTGCTACAGTTAAAAAATTTGATCAAATGGGACCTGCCCATCTACATTGAGGAGTTTCTATAGCAGTATAATCACTACAAATCCAATGTGGATATTTTCAAATTACAACCAAATAAACCCAGCAAAGGACTGGCAGAGCTGGTGACATTTCTGCCACAGATTGATCATAGCTCCCCAGAACAATTAAGTAAAGTTTCTCAAGAGTTGACATTTTCTCTCCTACGATCAGATCTTTGAATGACATTTTACAAAGCTTTGATCTTGCTGAAAAATAAGAATCTCATCAATCCATCAAGTTTGATAGAATTCTTCTTTGTATTTTTATGTTGCTATCATAAGCTCCTGTGAAAGACTTTATACACACATATTATGACCAATATCAAGAAAATAAATGCAAAAATACAAGAACCATAAAGTGAATATAGTATCACAGAATTTCCTGTACTCATATTAAGAGACAGCAATGCTACTGCAGCTTAGTTTTTTTTTAATTTAGTTCATCTCTTGGTTGTTTTCTCTATAAACCACACGAGTAAAATTATATGGTTTATTTCACTAAGCATAACACCCTCTAAGTCTATCCATGTGGTTGGTTGCAAACGGCAGGATTTCATCTTTTTTATAGCTTAGAAATATTCCATTGTGTATATATACCACATATTTTTCACCCACTCCAGTTATTTCCTATTGTAAATAATTCTTCAATAAACATGGGATGAGTATGTGTGTGTGTGTGTGTGTGTATATATATTTCAAAGAATAAAAATAGGTATTCCTTACTATGCAGCTAACTAACTTCTGGGTATTTACCCAAAAAATACAAGAACACTAATTTAAAGAAGTATATGTACCTCATTTTTTAATATTAAAATATTTTATTGCATATTATTTAAGTAATAGTATTACATAAGTAATGTACATCATACACACAAGATCTTATCATAATATTCTATTAAAATGCACTTTTGTTTTCATTCATCAATCTATTTTGGCCCTCTTTTCCCATCAGTAAATATAGAACTAGAACACACAGTTTGGATGTGTACAATTTATGCATAAATTGCAGACATTTTATGTAACTAATCACTGTTACTAAGCAATTAGTAGATAGCAAATTTTTAATGACAGACAAGACTGCAACAAAACATCTTTTCTATATTTGTATCACTATTTTCTTGGGGACAATTTATTAAAGTATAATTGTTCAGTCAAACACTACACACATTTTTAAGATATTTTTGTTCATGTTGCCAAAATATTTCCCTGAAAGATGGCACCATTAGAAAACTAGTTTGTTATAAAATTAGGGGAAATGCTTTAGGAAAACAATGTAAAAAATATAAAAATGCATTTGAAAAAATAAAATTGTGCTCTAATGTACCTGAGGGCGAGCCATTTCCCCTTCTGCAATTTTCCTCTCCTCAGTGATCAAGCTGATAATTTTCTTAGTAACCAGGGGTGCATTTGCACCCTTAATCTTTGCAACAATTTTGCCATTCTGCAAGGGAAAATAAAACATGAAGGAAATTTTCATTTTCCCAATAAGTCAAAAACTAATACTTCAACTGGACTGTCATGCTACCCCACACCCACCAATCCTTTGGGTGATCCTATAGTAATCAGCTATTTTTAAAAAGATTAGTGACTTGAAAGTATATCTCAGTTTTATAAGCCCAGGTCTCCGAGTGCCACCCCCAATTTGTCTGTCCTACAACCAAAGGCAAGACATCCCCACCTTACATTCCCACTGTTCTATATAGACTTTCAACATAACTTTCCCTAATTATTTTTGACACTATATTCCTTTTGTCCATCATTCGACATGTATTCACTAAACACCTGTTTACACACACTGTAGTAGACATGATGGTATGGAATAACAGTCCTGGGACCTGCCTAATTAATTACAAAAAGAAACAAACAAACAAACACATGAAATAACAACCATCACAGGTACTGCCAAGAGAGATGCATTGGGAGCATATACAAGGATATATTATGATCAGTGAGCATACTTATCAAAATCAGGAAGGGTTTCTTGGTTTAAAATATGATGGATAGGTAAGAGAGAACCAGGTAAAAGGGAATTAAAAGAAAAGGTTCTGAGTTTGGAAAACAAAAATTAGGAGGTGGGCTGAGAGGGTGCCTGGTAGTAGATGAAGCCCAAAGGAGGGAGGGGGAAGCCAACCATGCAAAGTTTTGTGGACCACAAAAAGATGATTTTATGCTTTAGCCTAGTCTTTATCCTATGTGCGGTAAGAAGTCTTTAGAATATTTAAATGGAAGCATCAACTATAATTAGGGTGGCAGGGATGGGGAGGGAACAAGAGATGTTTGTATACAAATTTGTTTTTTTGTGGCTTTTTTTGGCATAGAAGTACTAGGGTGTAGGCCAGAAGTGCAGGTGGTGAGAGGATTCATCAGAGACAGGGTGGGGAGCAGAACAGGCAGATTTACTGAAATATATTGGTAAGGGGAAAAGCAGGCAAGACAGGAGGTCTCCTGTGCCATATGTGGGTTAGCTTTCTGGCCAGGGATTTAACTCAAGCCATAATGATGATAGCACTAAATTTTAACCCATGGCCACTAGGGAGGCCCTGTATACAAATCTGAAGCTAATCTAGTGAGAAAGATGATTGTTCAGTCGATGGCACTGGTGATAAGAGATGGAAAGGAATAAATCAGTATAAGAAACACTTGGTGGGAAAATTGACGGTTCCAATGTCTGGTGTAGCCTGAGTGTAATGTAAAGTAGTTTTAGTGTATTCACTTTCCTTATTAGTATTTCTTTTTCCTGATCAACACAGTGCGTGGTAGTCTAATATTAATTCATTATGAGCTATATTAAAAGATGAGCAAAGATCAGGCAAAAAATCAGTAATTTCTATTACCAGAAAACAGTTCATTGATAATTTTGGAATGATACTTGCTCTTTAACTGTAAACTGGAATCTGATAACACATTCGAAGTGATAATGTGAAGTGAGGGCAATGCAAAATGTAGCAGACCACGCAAGGCTTAAGCTTGAGTTAGCTCAGGAGGACAAGTTAGGGCTGTGGGATAATTCCAGGCCAAAACAATAGAAACCAGGTTCCCGTCAAAAATAAGACATATGTACCATTTGTACCTGAAACATGAATGTGGTGAAATGCTCCGCTGCTTGTAACAGCAATTTGGCTTCTGTACCCCCGCTTGCTATGGCAACTGCAAACTCCCAGGTACTGTTATTGGCTTTATCACCCCCTGCTCAGGTCTGCTCCCTACGAGAGGTACAGTCGCCAGCCGGCTAATAAAGGCTTTTTCTAAATTTGATTTAGATTCAAGTCTGTGTGTAGGGGGAGTCTCTACAACAATAGATAATACTTACAAGACTAAAGAGAAAAACAGGTTCACATTTATCTTTAAATGATTGCAAAGTCACAATGTTGTCAGCTTCTGCCTGAAAAAAAATGAATGAATATTTCATATAATAAAAAATAAAATTATATCCAAGCCATTTGATACATTATGTTCAAATAACACAAGGTCCATATCATCTTTAGGTTTATTACAACATTCACTGAACATGTTCTAGCTGTTTTAAGAATCAAGTTTTATATATTGACAATTTAGATCTGGCATCATTTAACTTTTGTTTATTAAAGATTTATTTATACAAACACTGGGTACAGTCAGAAGCTTGGGAGGGTGAGAGAATTCACTAGAGCGGGGAGCAGAGCAGACAGAAGGACCGAAGTACACTGCTGAGGGGAGCAGCAGGCGGCAGGAAAGGTTTGCGCGCTATGTGGGACCCTCCTTCGGTGGCCGGGGAGCAGCCGGGGATTGAACCAGCGCTGCAGAGGCTGCGGGCAGCTTCGAAACCCAGCACTCAACCGCTGCGCCACTGGGGAGGCCCTGGCATCACTTAACTTTAACCTTACTTTTCACTGTTCTTTCTAGTCCCAGCCTTAAAATAAATTCATCTACTTGTAGAATACTATATATGCACTACCTGTGCTTTTTTTCTTCTCTACCTTCTCTTACCCTTCCACTTCCAATGCAGCTCAAATCTCCTTCCTCGAAGAAGTCATTCTTGCTCCTCCCTGCTGCATGTCATTGCCTGCTCCACTTAAAGAGCACTTTACCGCACTTCTCTCAGCACACAATTGTCCCTTTCACAACTATATTACAGTTACATGGGCCTGTCTCATCTCCTTGGTTAGCAGGAGAGATCTGTGCATGGGTAAATATTTATATTCATTTTGGCACATTGTCCCTCCTGCATCAGTCATGAGTTCAAACAAAAAGAATCTTTCTTCTAAACTGCTTTTAAATGATCTGCTAATCAAATATTTTATTTTTGCAGTTTTCTTAAAATTGCCTCTCAAATTTTAAGTTGCCCTAAATTGATCATAAACAACTGTATGTTAAATAATAATGTGTTCCTCCATCCCTAGGTGTAGTTGTCAGAGTAAGATCATTTGGTAGGGTCTTCTGTAAGAGTTGGTTTCAAACTGGGATTTCTGGGAGTTCCTCCATACCTGTCAAGAAAGGGAGGACCCAGCATCCCTTTGTCAGCCAAAGGGACTGTGTTGCAATCTTTTTTTTTTAAATACATACAGAATATTTGATTCTACATTTTTTTCTTTCTTATTTTAAGAGAAAGTTCAACTAGTAAGGGGCTGAAAGGTATTAATCTATCATATTAAAGGACAGAAATAAGAGATTATATTTAAAAGTAGTCTAGGTATCATCATACAATGTTTATATTATAATAAAGCATTAACAATGAAAACATTTATTACATATAACAACTACAAAAATAATCTTTACTGACTTTTCATATACATATATACACTGTTAGTACAAGTCTTCAAGTGTTTTAAAATGTCACCTAAAGAAATAATGTATACTGACATTCAGCTTAGGGTGATTTCAATAGGAAATCAGCCTCATTTCTTTGAATTTGAGACATATATACAAGTTCAGAAAGAACGCCATTCTTAGTTTGCTGCAGAAAATAAAATCCAGTAGAGGGTGCCCCTTCATTATGCAAGTACAGGTTTTGGAACCTATATTAATTCTTTTTCACACCTTATGAACAGATCATAGCAGAAAATGACATCATTCTACATGATGTATTATTGTTGAGTGGATACAGACATGATAAAAGAGAAATCATTTAGGGACAACCAACACTTTTGTTGTTGTTATATTCAACAAATGCCAGTAATATGATTAGAGCATATTTTAGAAAGATTTTGTTATCATTTCCCAGTAGCATAGAGAATAGATTCCTTGTGCAATAGGCTGAGCAATTCTATTTGGCCAGGGTACGTATTTCTGTGTTTGAGACTGGGGAGAAGAGTTTGCTCAAATCTAAGACCTCACCAGCTCTAGCTGAGTTGAAAAGCAAACCACACAGTGAACTATGTGGTCTAATTCTCTTTTCATACCCACTTCTTATTTCCCATCACCAAGCTCAGCCCACACATGTACCTCTAAGTTTGTTTCTACTTAGACTCTACAAACTTGGAGGGGGTTAAAGACTCCAGACAATCTGGGAACACAGGATCATATTATACTTTCTTGCACAAGATGCAGGTGTCCTGATGGGCAGGGACTCTGTTGTCAGTCTCTCCAGGTTGATCCCAGTTTCCTATTATACACTAGAGTCCAACCAAGACCATTAGTTCCCTCTTTCTAACAATTTTTCAAGGACTGAAAAGCTACTTGTGCTAGGTGGCTACCATATTAGATAAAGCTCTGAGCAGCTGCTAACTTGATGTGGATAAATTGAATAATCAACATAGTGAAATGCAATGAATTTGGCTGTAACATTTTAATCTCTTGAAAAATATGGGTGTCAAATGAGAAGAAAATCACTAGCACTGCACAATTGGAATTGGGTAGTTATACAGAGTCCTACCCAATGCCACCCAGTAAATAGCATTTGCAGCCCTTATTCTTAGAGGGATACTGAATATGTGGTCAGGTGAAAAGAAACAGGTCAACAGAAAGCCATCTGTTTTTCTATTTTTCTAACCTTCATAACCATGGTGAATAACCTTAGTATCACAGTGAGACACAGGGCAAGCTAGGAATTAGGCAGTTTTAGGGACACTGCAGGAGCGGATCTTGGAGAAGTGAGGAAGGCTTCAGAGATAAGGGCAGCAAGAGGAGTGTAACTAATTCCACCTGGAAAAACAAACATTCCAGAACCAAGGACAACATTGTTAATGCTGCCCTTGGTTTCCTTCAGGTGGTAAAGGGAGGCAGAGTTGGAGAAATAGAGAATGGTTTAATTTATGGACAACTTAAAAGGGCAACTGTTTAACTTCAATGCAGAGATGCTCATCCGGAGGACTGGGCCACAAAGATAAAGAAGTAACAAATGGGGAAAGAGAAAGCTGTTAGATAAGGAATGTGAAAATCCCCGCTCAGTAGCAAATTAAGTGAAACAGCCAAGAACTAACCAATCACAGAGAGACTGGTGGAGCTTTAGAATAATTAGGGAAAGAAGGTATATATTCTCTGAGACACAACTCCACTTTGGCTTCCTTTCCCCTCCCTGGCCTGGTTTCATGGCCTGGGAGTCCTACTTTGTTTCTGTTCTTTTTCTCCTCAATAAACTTTTTCTTTCTCTAAACAAACCTGCCTCTTCTTGCTTGCTTGCCTGAGCGTCTGCGAAGTTCCTGCTGTGGCTTCGTGAGACACCAACCCCTGGGGTCTAGTGGCTGGGACTCAGCGCTGCCCCTGCAGCCTCGGATCTGTTCCTGGCTGAGAGACTAGGCCTGACAATTCAGGTATCAACAGGAATGGGATAAAAATCACATTTGTTCTCAAATCCAGCAGAGCCAAATAAAGTAAAACTGCCAATGAAATAATGTTGATTTTTGGAGTGTACAAATAATGTTGATTTTGAAGAGTGTCCTTACAGAGAATATTTAAATACTTAGTAATAAGAAGGTAATAGTTTAACAGAAAGGGAATTCTTACAACAGCAAAATGCAGAATTTCATCTTCGTTCAGCTCATTTTTCAATTTTCTGAATAAAGTCTGCATCGCTTTACAAGGTCCACACCAGGCTTGATAAACATCGATCACTAGAAGATGATAATACTTATGAAAGAATAAAGCCAAAGCTAGAATAGCAGCATACCCCAATGCTGGGATACCCATTGTGCAGGGAAAAGGCCAAAGAAGAGCAGGGAATATGCTGCAGTAGGAAGCAAAGATCTGCACTAGGTGCTACTAGGGGCCCTACACTGAACTCTGTGCCAAAGGCTGAAAAACGGGGAGCCCCGTTACCTGTGAGACCTTTGTTGTGCAACATCTCATCCCATAGGCTTTGATTATTGATGACTGCCTGAAGAAAAGAAGGCACTGAAAATGGTCTTCAGGAGCCAGTGCACCAAATAAAACTTGTTATCATGCCTACCTGTAACTGGATTTCTTTCTTTTTGCCTGCCATTTATCCACTATCACAGGAAAAAAAGTGGGGGGGGGGAGAAACATTTAAAAAGAAATTTAAATAACGTTCAAGCACCATCTTAATGCAGCCTAGCAATACTGGATGATACACTTGCCTTGTCTGTAGATAAAGAAGCCCCTGTTACTGAAGGGCTGGCTCTGAACTGAAGGCTCCGAGCACTGCACTCTCTTACCCTCCCAATAACCTGAAGTGCAATTTTTTAAATAGTTTTGTCAGTTTTCCTAAAGTACTATGCTGTGTTATCTTTATTTTCATTTGTGCACATGTTAATTGTCTCTGAACATGCTCATGGCTCTTTCTTGTGTTTCCTCTGAGGAGATACAATTTCCAGAAGATGGAAACTTTCCTTGGGTGTTAAATCAGTGTGAGGCCCAACCACTCTAGTTGTGTTTAGAGTGTGGGTCTGATTGCCTGTGATAGCAGACACTAGTGTGAAAATAAAAAGTGACAAATAAGCCCACATCCTTGGATAGGGTGCTGGATTCTTTCACAAGCCTTAAACAAAACAGATGTTCCTCTATACTACCTTGAGAACGGAAACAGATAATCCCTGAGGGTCAAGGGATCAGCTCTTCCACAAAAACCTGCGGCTCATGCTGTGCTTTCTGCCCACAGGCGGTCCGCTAAAATGAAAGGAAGAGAACGCCAGGGCGCCAACGTTTTCTGCCACTCCTCTGGACAGTCCGCGAGGCCCGGCCGCTTCCAACCAAAGGATGACGCCGAAGGTCTTCCCTCCCGCAGCCGCACACACCTGGGCAGCGGTTACAGAGCAGAGGGCCGCTAAAATTGTGGATATCTTGCGCCCCTACACTGAAGGGACACGAAAGTTGGTTCCCCTCCCTTAAGACACCTCCCTCCTCAGCCACCTCCTTCTCCTTTCCTTTTCCTGGGGAGGAGATTAAGAGGGGGAGGCAAATGGGGGTGGGCACTACAAAGCCTCTCTGCCTCCAGGGTGCACTCACTAAGTGCTGATTTGACCCTTCTCCCTGGGGCTGTGCTTCTTCCAGAGCTAATCAACACAGTATAAAAGCTTAACATCTGACTGCAAAACTGGGGCAACCAGAAGGGGAAGGTTCCAGGGGTGTGAGTGGGACAGGAGGGGGCCCAATGGAGCATGGTGGAGTATTATTGGGGCACTGGTGGTGAGCATGGCCCGGAAGATAAGCATCTGTGAAGGTTTGGATCTATAACCCCCACAGATGCTATGATGTCAGCCAACTACCTCAATAAACATAATTAAAAACAAAACAAAACAAACATCTCTGTCCTGGAGTAGAGCTGTTATAGGGCAGCCCTGATATTGAATGGCTTGCCTGGCTGTGGGTCCTCACCCACGCGCTTAAAAGGAACTTATTAATACTCCACTACAGGCACACACAAAAGGTTAATAAAAGGTTTATTTACAAGGGAAAAGGAAATAAGGAAAATGTGCATAGCTTTAGGACACCCTTTTCCCCCTAACAGATCCACCAACCCCCACCCCTATTCCTACCTGCCCCGCCCCCCACCAAAAAAATATCTGTTCTCAGATTTGAGCAGAAAATTCTCTCCACTTCAACACCTACCCTGGTTCTCTAATAGGGAGATTCCCAGCCAGGGAAAGGGAAGTTCCAGATTCCTTGCTCCAGCCTAAGGAAGTGAAGCTTCACCTAAGGAGGTGAAGTTATATAGCAGACACTTGGAAGAATCAGGAGGAAGAAGGAAGAGGACAGAAGAAGATCGAGAGGAAGCACATGTAACAGACATGTGAAAAAACTACCTTGTACTTTTAACAGGGACTTGGGGGACATGGAAGGAGACACTTGAAAGACACAGAGGTATGGGTAAAAAACCCATGGGGAGGCTGATAATGGCTTGACTTGTATTTTGCTTTTGCGTTTTCCTTCCAGACTTGCCTGGTCTCTACTGTCCTTTTCCTGTGGTTCTATACCAGAGGGTGCCTCAGACTTGTAGCAAGTTTTGGGGCCTCAGTAGTCCTTCTTTGGGCCAACCCTGCTTGGCTGGGCATTTACCCATGAGGGAATGGAGAGCTTTGGGTGTTTAATCGAAAACTATTTCAACGATATTTTTTCTCTTCTCTCTATTGCACACTAACTGTACTAAAGTTCTTTTCCATTGAAGTTTTTATGCTTTAGAATATGTTTTGTGTTGATGTGATGGATGGCAGAACCCACTTAGAGCATGCAGTTTTGGGGGTCTGGGGCTCCCCTCATTCTGCCCACTAGCAAAACCATATCTCTCCAAAGTAGGGAGGAATGACAAAACAGGTATCAAAACCTGGTATAATTACCCCACACATCAATCAGAGTGCTTTCCAAAACATAACCTTCCTCAGTGGGAAGCAGAGTCTTAGAATCTTGTTTTTCACTAGCTATCAAATAATTCCAAGAATTCAAATGGCAAATATGCCCAAAACAAGTAGTGTAGGTAAAGATTCCCAGTAGCAACACCCTTCAAACTTAATCCGATAAAATCTCTCTAATTTTTCTGATCCAGACTTTGCAAAACCCAAGTAGTTTTGTAATAGGGTGGTCCCCAGGGAAGGGGGAAGTTCCAGGTTTCCTGCCCCACCCAAAGGAAGGTGATGCTGAGCCAGGAGAACAAGAAGCAGCAGAAGAGACTGAGAAGGAAGGAAGCAGGATGGAGAGCCAGAAGGAGACCTGGAGGAGGCACATGGAGCAGAGAGACACATGAAGAAACAGCGCTTGCCTTTTGGTTGGGGACTGGGTGACACAGATGTGGATGAAAGACTCATGGGGAGGTGACAATGGCAGCCTTTGCCTTGATTTTGATTTGGCTCTTCTCCTTCCAGATTTATCTGCTTGTTTCTGATCCTTTTCTGTGGGTCCCCACTGAAAGGTGCTTCAGACTTGTGGCAGGCTTTCTAGCCTTGCTCTGGGCCAATCCCATTTGGGTGAACTTCTACCCACAAGGCAATGGGTAACTTTGGGTGCTTGATTTAGAAACTATACTCTTTACCTGTCCTGTATTGTTTATTAAGTGTATTAAAGTTCGTTTTCATTAAAGTCTCATATGTTTTGTGTTGATGTGGCAATGGCAGAATCTATTTAGAGCAGGCAGGTTTGCGGGGTCTGGGGTGCCCCTCTCCCTGCCCTGCAACAGTTCCAAGCCTACATTAAGGCTATCAGCAACTACTAGTTATAGCTCAAGGCTTCTTCCACCTTAGCACCCAGGCTAATTCCAACCATCACTGAATTTTTGTTGGTTTGCAAAACACTTGGATGCTGAGATGTGGGAGTAGTAGCAATCAAAAGCTCAAAATCACTTCAAAAAACCATCACTATTTTCAGAATTGCTAATTAGACCTATTACCCAGCAGAGATCACAAGCAAAAGTCAAAAGTCACAGTAACCTACTACCATCTTTTGAGTAAAACTGCTTACTTAGTTCCAGAGAATCCAACCATGAGGCTTCAAATACCATTTTGGAGCAGATTCCATTTTTGACTTAGCCATCTTTGAGTAAAGCTGCTTGTTATTAACAGAACAATTTCTATAAAATCAAACCTCTGAACAAATGAATAGAAACAAATTGCACATATATGCACAAAGTTTCCATGAGGTCTAAGCAAGCCAGTTGGTTTTTTTTAATCTAAGGGTCAGAAAGCAAATCTACACATGTCTGAAACACAAACACACTAGAAAAACAAAAAACCACATTTGTGCTTACAGTAGCCAATGCCACTATGAAGTCAAATTTCTCTATTAAGCTGACTAATTAGAGATAGCTTAAGTCCCTTCCACACTGGGCACCATATCTCTTACCTGGCAGAATGAGGGGCAGTCCAGCACACCCAAAACCAGTCTGCTGTAAATGAGTTCTACCATCTGCCACTTCAAGACAAAACATACTATAGCACAAAAGACTTTCAATAGAAAAGAACTTTAACAAGATTACTGTGCAATAAAGAGAAGATAGAGAAAGAATAGAGATTTCAAACCAAGCATCTAAGTTACCCATCCCCTCATGGGTAAATGCCCAGCCACACAGGGTTGAACTACAGCAGGGCACGAAGGCCTGAATGTTTAAGACACCTTCTGGTGTGCAACTTATAGCAAAGGGGCAGAAGGGGCCAGGCAAGGTTGGAAGGAAAAGAGCAAAATCAAAATGGAAGTCAAGATAAAGGCTGCCATTTTCAGTGTCCCCACAGGTCTCTCGGCCAGGGGAGAGACACTCTTGCAAGTGTCTCTTGCTACACCCCCCAAGTTCCTGGTACAAATCCAGGCCAAGAAGCAAGCATAGCTGCTTCTTCAAGTTTTTCTATTTCTTGTGCCCCTTCCAGGTCTCCTCTCCATCCTTTCTCTTTACTGTGAAGATCACATTGTTATACTATGAATGAGTAGACTTAGGTGCTTTATTTTTCAAAAATAACTATCTTTCTCATTTAGATGATGGATGCATTTGCCAACGAGCAGAATACAGTGTGGAAAAAGTAAACTGAACTGGCCACAAAAACCATAGGCTGTGGTGTTTTCATCTTTCCTTGTTTAAGAAAAATGATTGCAACCACGAAACTGGAGTGGTTGTTTAGAGCCAAGGAGAGTTTTAGGGTTCATAAGAACATCAAGAAGCTTCAGATGACAGTCGTTATTGAGAATTCTCTCTGGAGAGTCTCCATTTCAGCTTACGAAGAAACCACAGTTGGGAAAATCATATTCTTTAAGGTGTTATTAATAAGAATAGCATCGAATGGGTGTACGGATTAAGTAAAACATAACACATGTGACAGGGTGTCTAGGAAATAGTTATTATTCAAGAAAGCATTTGTAAGGGTTACAGTAAGTGAACCCAGCTGCTATAACATATGAAACCTGGAATTCAGATCTTTCATCCTATCAAATCCACCCACTCTCATTTCAGTGTCTTCTGGCTGGGCGGCACTCCATGCGATCATAAAGGAGGTAAGGCTCTTCATTTGGTGATTTTGTCCTCTGTGTCCACACAGTCATCTGCATGCAGCCAAAGGTGGGAAAGCAGGAAACAGAATGAGGTGTAGGAGGTTTTATTATTAGCATACTTCTCTTTCCTCCCCAGCAGGTGGTCAGGTGTCCCAAGATATGTGTGATGCCAAGAGATCACCTGTTTGGAAAGCATCTGGTTATTCTGCACAGTTTTATTCCTTCACTCTTCCATTTTACCTCCTAAAATTCAAGGGTGTTTTTTTTTTTTCATTTATTAGTACTGCTGAGCTAATGCTGCTTACAGGGGAGGGCTTAAAGTAGCCAAATATTTCTAACACATCATGAAACTTTTTAGCATACGTGGGTCTAGTGCAAAGTTTGCATCAAAACTCTGGAAAGATAGAGAGAAATGTAGGCGAAGGTGAGGCGAAATGTGTACCCTCATTCATTCCTGAGAGAAGAACAAACTTGTACCCTACCTAGCAGAGAACTGTGGACTTAGCGTATTTATTCTGCCTGATCTAGTCATTCTATTTTAGGGTAATGACCTAAGGAACCGCTCTGCGCCAGCCCTTTCTTTACAATGGCTTATAACGGAAACCATCTAAATGAAAACCCCAGGGTGTGGCTAATAAATTACAGCATCCGCACAAATGAGAGGTAGCGATCAGAGGGCGGATGGTGAATGAAGAGCAGAGGAATGACTGAGGGTCCCGGGTGGGGGGGGGAGGGCGCCGCCTGGTGGTGAGGACCAGTAGTGCGGGC